AGGTACTAAACCAACATAAAAAATATTTTTTTTATTAATAAGCCTAGCATGTCAAATATTCTTCTGTTTTTCAGTCATTTAACTAAAGTTACATTTAACTTATTATTATTAATTAATAATAATATATTCTGATAATTCGGGAATAAATAATTACATTGTTTTCGGGTACTGGAACACGGGCAAACGACCCTGCACCCGAGTTCTAGCTGGGACGAAAGAATATGGGCGTTCTCGACTCCGTTCAATTACACTTGTCGTTTGTCCGAATTCCATAGGCACTCGTGTTCGGGTTAGCGATCAAGTGTAATCGCGCCATTAGAGTTAGGAAAAGGACCCAAAAAATACTACATACTTAATTCGGTTTGTTTGATTGTCGTAGACCATACGATTTGCTTTGCCTACAACAGTTGATACACTCGGTGATGGATTCGTCTTGTCTTCTTTCAGCAATTAACTTTAGTACTCTTAATAGACTGCGCAATCCTAGAAAATTGGTTTTATGTACCGTTCTAGGTATGCTCTAGGTACATAGAAATAACACTTCCTACTACAATCTTATCTCTAGAATGTGTTGACTTTTCGATGCTTTGGCATCAACGATATAAATATCGTTGTCAAGCAACTAAACTTGAGATAGACATAAGTATTTGGATATAACTTTCTTTTTAAAGCTGAGATCAAATCTCTACTTTTACCGCTGAGGCGGCTTTAATTTAGTATGTTACGTCTTTATTATTTTTAAGATCAATGATTCCTAACTATCTGGTAAGCATCATTTGATAATCATGTAATAACATGCTTTTTGCCTTTGTGTGTAAATAATTTTGTAGTTGTTTATATTTTAATATTACGTCTACATAGCATGCCGTGTACACATATTATTGGATTGTACTCTAGACCAAACTTCTTTTTTTTTACCATAATACCATGTAACGATGCAATCTGTTTTGTGTACTAAATAAAAAGAAAAAAAAATTTGGTCGACCTTAACATTGCTTGGTTGTATCTCATCTAAACTCATCTAATCTAATATCATCTCAACTATATCTTCGTAATGAAAACACGTGAGATTTATAAAAAAGTTCGTTTAAAAATTAATTCAAATAAAGTAAAAACTAAGGGACCTATCCAAACTTGAATGGTGTCATGAAATTTTAATAATAACGAATAAAATTAAATAAGTAGCTAAACCTATTTTTTTGATGCTTTCATAATAATAATTCTGAAAATTGGTTGTAATCATAATACAAACATTTGCCCCTACCGGGATCCGAAATTAGGACAAGAATACAGAGTAGGCGACACCTTGAAAATCATTGTAGTACTTATATACCAATCCACCAGGAAGTTTGTCAAAAGATCATCACTTATAAAAAAATAGTCTGTTTATCTTAGGCTCAGCCAGCGCTTTTTTAATGTCCATTACAAGCACGGAGTACCCCCACTAGAGTCCACATCACGCAAATTTTGTTTGAAATCAAAATCGCCAAAGTCGGTGGCGTGCAGGGAGATCAGCCGCGTTGTGATTGGACACGTCAAGGTCAGATGATAAACTCAGTGCAGCGAAGTGATGAGGGTAAGATCGATTTTAGAAAATATCGATATTTTATATCGATAAATAAAGAACACCCGGCATTATGTGCCAAAGTTGTATACTTTTTTATCTGTGTTTCATAATTGGGTAACGTAGTCTGGCAATATTTGTCATCAGCAGCTAGCTGTCAATGTCAAATACGTAGGTTTGTCAATATAACCTCTATATGTAGCCGGGTCGTCAAGAGAAATAACGGATAAAAAGGCAATCACAGCAGAGAACATTCACAATCACAGTACGCGGGAGCGAATGATTTTTTTGTTTGTATTTTAGGATTGTCAAATTGACATTTGGTTTTTTATTTAGAAAAAGCAAAGGAATCATGGTTTTTACAGTCACTTGAGTAATATTTCAAGTAAAATTCTGTCCCTTGAAGATTTAGGGTTTCCATATCAAAAAATATTAATCATTATATAACTTCTTTCCACGATTCACTAAAAATAAGGCAAAATTAGTTTAATGAGCAAATAATTTTGGCTTCATTTTGAGACCAAATTCAACTGTATACAAGTTTAGCATTTTTTCTATGAAAAGTGCCGGATCTCCATTGTACAGAGGCCTAGTACTTTGGTGCGCTAGTGTAGCTATGCGCAAACATACTCTCTCCACTTTCTTCCAGCGTTCTAATTATATGACGCGACTAGTAACTACATACTAAATAAAATATATGCAACACAAAAAACACGTAAAAAAAATATCTTGATAGACAATAATATGCTGTTTATGACAACTTTTAAAACTTAAGGCGCCTTACTCATCGGCTCGGTACAGGTTCGTTTTGTTTGCGGGAGTGACTGTCAGTGGTAAAGTGACGAGAACATATGTAACTGTTTACAGTTGGAGTCCAATCTTTACGTTTAGTTGCACTTATCCAAAGTTCCTTCATCTTGGCACATTTTGGAAACCTATGAAATAAATAAAACACGTAATGTTACTGTATTTTGATTCTCGCATCAGTCTGTAAGATATCACCTTAAATATCTCTTTAAAGATTTTGCTCGTTGCTGTTCTCGTGAAAGGCACATGCGATATACAGACTTAATGAATTTAACATTAATACGGTGACGTCCGTGGCTCTTGACTTAGCACACGCAAAATAACCTAAGTATAACCAAATTATTGATTTTGAAGGAACTTGGTAAATACTTATCAAATTTTATGCTAGCTACCACCCGCGACTTCATCCACGTTAACTTTAGTTTTTTGAAAATCCTAAAGAAACCTGACATTTTTCCGTTACAAAAAGTATTCTATACAACGATATTTTATACCCTAGATACGACAACATGTACAAAATCGTGGCCGAAACGTGACCAAAAGGTACATTTGACGATTCACAGAGGTCCGTAAGATGATCGCGTGGTCAAAATCAATGTAATGCATTATTTAAAAAAAAGTCACCTTTAATGCATACGGCATAAGCTCTTAATTAAAACGCATGCATCGAAGATTTATGGCAGTTCAAAATGCAAGTTCCTAAAATTTTACGACTTATTGTTATATGCGAAAGAAAATAGACCTTATTTTTTTAACTTTTCGCGCTCAATTCTGAATGTGCTGTTAGCTATTATAGCAGGTACAGACCGCGAAGAAAAAAGACGGCTATAGGGCGACGTATAACCGACCATGCTTTTGAGTATCACAAATATGTTATATTAAATCAGTTTATAGTAAGTATTACAATAAAATTTGCTTCAAATGCGTTAAATTTATAATAATAATAAAAACGTTTATTTGGCTCAAATTATATAAATAACTTATTGTATTACATAAAGATGACTATGTACCAAATTATAAAAACATTAATTAGATACCTGTCGAAAAAACAACACTTTACGTACTATTAGTATTTTTTTCGCATTTTTACGGAGCTCTGCGGCATTTTGACTTTTCATCGGTCCGCGCGTGACTGTAAACCAAGAAGTGCTTGAATAAAGTTTAAGCACTTCTTGATTGGGACACATTTTGAGCGCTCGTGGTCTATCTAGGGTATTTAATATCGTTAATTCCATGTCTTTATCTAGGTCATAAAGTATGCGCACTTAATTTCATACAAATCGGTTTAATCGTGTAATAGTAACAAATATCCATACAAATTTTCGGGTTTAAAATTTTAGTACGATATGATTAAAAACTGTTGGTTGTATACTCATGATATCTGTTATTGTATACGATGAAATAAATAGTTTTTATTTATTTTTTCTATTTCCGTAGCTGACAAACTTATCGATAAACTTACGGGTACAGACATGAGCTGCGTCAAGTCACTAGCAATACACGTGCCGGTGTGAGAGCGGAATAGCATATATGATGTAGCGCATGCGAGAAAGGGATAGTGTTAAAAGACATCAACGCGTTCACCAAAAAATAAATACAATTAAAAGCAATTTCATATAAGAGTATTTTTGTCTTTTTGTAATGCATTTAAACTTACCGGTGAAAAGTAATACCATCTTTTTGAAGACTGGAAGTTTTACTCCACTTTCCACATAATTTAATTGCACAGTACGGCATTTTTTCTAGTTTTTTAACGCAAAAACGAGAGAAGCACTTCTGCTAACGCTCGGCATCGGAATGAAACGATGTATAGCGACGTCTGTGGGCGTGTCTCACGCATACGTAATATACTACTTAAGCTTGGCGTAAGCGCTTGCCCTTGTATGCGGACTCTAGTGGGGGTGCTCCATGATTACAAGACTCAAGTAAGTTTTCTATGACTAAAGAGTGTATTTATTTATTACAGGTCCCAAGACATTAATCTGTATAAAAAAGAAAATCAAAATCAAACAAGTGTGTAAAGACTATTCAGATTTTGTAATGAGTTTAGTTAAGGTGTTAGAACATCAACTCCGTATATCTATGTAATTTAATTTTATGAAAATGTATAGGAAATTATTTTTTATTACAAATAAAAACCTAAATAAAAATAGACAATGATGTTTTAATTGGTTTCACTTTAGCTCCTAGTAAATAATCTAATGACCGGCCACTGAGATTGTTGCTTAACCATGTTCGCAGATCGAACGCACTACTCCATCGAGCTCTTTCATACCTTGCCTTTTGGATACACAAACCTTCTAAAGGATAAGACTTTGTAAATCAAGTGGTTGGAGGATTAGTGAAAATGAGTACGTTTTTTTGTTTCAATAAAATAATTCTAATATATTGGACAACCCCTGACTTTGATTTACTTAGTCGAGTAATTATTAACAAAATGCATGAATGAAAACAACACATAATGGTTGGTGACATATCAAAATTTTCTTCTTATTGGTAATAAAATTATTACTGGTAATAAATAAATTTTTGAAAATAGAAAGTATAAAAGCTGTCCAGTGGGAAGTAGTAAAAATGAAGGTTATAATAATTTTGTATAATTTGCGGCGGTTGGAAATGAAAATACAAGTTAAAGCAGTCAAGTTCTATATTTTATCGTTTACTTAATTTATTTTGTACAAACTTCAACAATATATATAATAAATACTCAATTAAACCTCTATCACTCAGCAAACTGAACTCACTTTTTTCATAAGTATAGTTAAATAAATAATACAATGACATTATAACTTATTGTCTAAACTTAATTAAACACAACTTCTTTGTGCAAATATGCCTGATAGTAGTAAAATTTTTGGTTTGACCAACAAAATTTTTAAATTCTCCACCGTTTGTTTAACATTAGTGGAACGGTTCAAGCTCATCGTATAACCGAACTACTCGTCCCATTTACAATACACACCAACTGTTATTTTTTGTACTTATATAAACTCTTTAAATAGCAATTTTAATACTTTTAGGTAAGTTCTCTTTTGGGTCTCTTAGAAAATATAATTATTTTCATTTAAACATCTCTTATTATACCGACTTAGAGCTAGTATATAAACAATTTCGTTTGGACTGTCTCGGTCGCAAGATCCATTGCGTCCACAGAACACAGAAAATGGTCTTTCTGTGTTCTGTGATTGCGTCTAATGGCATATAATGTTTTCCATAATTTTGTTTTAAATTATTATATTTAGGTAATCTTTCCATAGGCTTCCTTATGAGCTTAAACCGTTCCAACGGCTTTATTAAATCGACAATGTAAATAAAGTGAACACAAGCGAACGAACCGATGAGTGACGTCACGCGACGGCGACGTTTCAAGGCGGGCGCGCGGAGAGTGTGCGAGGGATGGGGAAGCTCTCTTGCACACACCCCGCACATTTATAATATAAAATTATCTACATAATCATTATCTGTAACCATAATTATTGCAAAATATGTGCAAAACGGTAAGCGTCTCATTTAGTTTAAATACACCGACTCTTTAAACTTTGCAACATTTAGATTGTCTTGCACTTCATTGAATTATACTTTTTAGTTTATTTTCACATTTTTGTATGTAAACGAATTGAAAACAACCGACACACAACTATTAGGTGACATGTTCCATACGATAAAAAGCGAAACCTTTCGTCGAGCACACGTTAACGTTATTGCTTCAAGCTTATTATGTATCGCTGATGTCGATAGATAGTAGAGATGATAGATTATTTATGACGTGTTGCGACGTGCGTTGTGGGATCTACCCGGCGCGGCAAGCTCTCAATATTTACAGAGTAAGTAGAAAATTGACCACTTCCAAAGTTACAATTACAAAATTTAATGACTTTGTTGTGCTAGAAAAAGACGACGCCGACCGACAGAGCTCGGGGCGAACTCCACCGTCGACGCCCTGAAGAGATGGTATCGAAAAATAAAAACACTTCGTAATATCTACCTTACTCGGTAAGGGACGTTCGATCACTTAGGTATATAAATAATCTTATTGCTAAATACGGTGATCTGTTCATGTAGCCGAACGGTTGAACGTTGTAAAAGATGCGTTACATTACAATGTATTCTGCAAGAGCAATATTATTCGAAGCAGTACCAGCCCGCTCACATTTATTAGATAAAAGGTATATTCGCGTCGCGCAGCCGACACGGTCGGTAGATCAACTTGGAAATCAAGCAGTATAGTTGACGCCCACGAAAATTCTTTCAGTCGAGGGTCTCCATAATGTTCCGACACCTGGAACAGCGAATTTGTACATACTGAACATACATCCTACTTAATATGTAGTTACGAGCTAGCGCGCTAGAACAAATGCTAGTTCCACGTGTCGGGGCTGGAGAGAGATTGGAATTATGATGTTGGTTGACAATAGCCCGCAGTCGAGTTGGCCTAGTTGATCTACAGAGTGCCGGGGCGCGGGGCGGATCCGGCGCCGGCCGGGGAACTCTGGCGCCGCGCCCGCTCACAGCTAATGTAATCCAGGGGAAGGGAGATTACATTAACTAGGTACATGGAAAGTGCGCGTTACATAAAATGGCTCGATTCCTATGATGCATACTGATTAGGACGGAAGTGAATTCTGGTACCGATTTCACAGCTGATTTGTTAAGCTTACTTAGATAACTTTGCAAAAATTTCTCTAAACTCTCTTAATATCGAGGTAATCGACGGCGAGCCGACCTCGTATAGAAAATGACGACGCGGCGGGCGTCATCATTGCGGTACACTGAGAGGCTTAAAAATTGGAACTATTAAAAACTATACGGACAAAATTGATATGAATCGGCGTAGCCATTGCTTTTTTTCTAAGCGTTTATTAGATACGATTACACTAACGTCCGAATGCGATGGACGAATCGAAGACGTTACATGTTTCAATGGTAAATAAAAGGAACAAATTCCAAATATCGAGTGCTACATCGATTTTATGGCTGTAAGCCGCGGGCGGGGTGCGCCCGCGCTGAACTTAAATAGCTTATGTGATTGCGTCGCTCGCACTCCGGCGCGGCCGAGCGGAGCCCCGCGCCCGCCGCCGGCGCCGGCCTCTGCCGTCTGCGGCCTGCCCCGCGTGCCCGACCACGACACTGTGCTCAGTGCTGTGCACACGGCGCGGCGGCGGGCGATTGACCTCGCTCTCAGGCCCACTATCAAACCACACCGGTACAATGTTATTGTTCGACACCATTTCGGGGAAGGAAAATGATATCTCACAATTGGCAGTTAAAAAACCATCGTAATACTAAAAAAGTTTTGATTTAGAATTTACAGAATAGACAGTGATATTCATCGAATACAAAAATAAGCTTTCACAGCTTCCTCAATTTTATCCGATACCTTACTTAATTCACTAGTGACGAAAAGAACGGTACGTTCGTCCTCGACCCGTCCGGTCGTCGGACGGGCCGGCACGACGACTTTTCTGGTGCTAATGTGAACCGTGACACGGTGAACGCGCGAACGTCGGTCGCAAAACAAACAGTCTCAAAAGCTCGGCCACGAATACGAAACACTCCGGTCGTCACCTCGAACATCTCCGAACGCGAAGGAACAAGTTCCACGAAAGAAACGGCGCGCTCGCGCATCGGTCGCACCGGCGCGCGTCGCGGCGCTCGCCCGCGGCCCGCCGACACACTACATATTATGTACAATGCGAAACGTCTAGCGTAAAAAATAATTAAGTGCGCTTGGGTGGGCTCAGGAGCTCGGGCAGCGGTGCGGGCAGCGGCAGCGGCGCGTCGTCGACCAGCGCGGGCAACAGCGCGAGCGCGAGCGCGGGTCAGACGGGCGCGGGCGGCGGCGCGGGGTCGGGGGGGCGCGCGGCCGCCGCCGCCGCCTGCAGCACGACGCGGTGCCCGTTGGGCGTCACAGCGTCTAGCAGCACGGCCGTGGCCGCGCCGTCCGCGCCCGCGCCCCCCTCCGCCCCGCCCGGCGCCTCCCCGTCCCCGTCCGCGTCGCCCTCGCCGTCGCCGTGCACGCGCCGGTGCCGCCGCCACGCGTGTTGGATCAGCCGCGCGCAGTACTCCTCGCGCTGCCGCCACAGCGTCGACGACACCGGCTCGTAGCCCGCCTCGTCCGGCCGCCCCACCTCCAGGTCGCCGGGGTCCTCGATCGGATTCCCCTTTCGGGCGAAGAAGTCTTTTGTGAGTGCGTCGAGGATGTCCACGCAGAACATCATGTCGCCGCGACATATCGGTATGTCCATCGATATGATCTTGTATTTGTTCGGTTTGTGAATCTGCAGTGGCGGTTCGAGGACGTCCAGGAAATCGGACAACTGGTCGTAGCGGATGTACTGCGTGCCGTCCGGATCGAACCGCTGCCAGATTTCGTAGTACATGTCGTAGTCGTCGTCTGTGAGACCCTCTTGTACATCTTCCGTCGCCTGTAAAAAATACGGTGTTTTACTCTCGATAAATAAACACTTTCGGAAACTATAGTTGATCTATATTAAACTCGAATTTTACCTGCGAATAATTTTCGAGGATAACGGCGATGTACATGTTTATGACGATAAGGAAGGAGATGACGAGATAGGAGAGGAGGTATGTGATGCCGATGGTCGCGGACCCACAGTTGCCCGGGTACCCACGTTCATTGTCCGGTAAATCACATTCCTCCTCATTAATGATGCCATCCAAAACGCCGTCCCAGCCGGCCGATGTTGACATCTTTAAAAAAATCACATGATTTAAAATAGGTAAAGGTATATGAAAAGGATTTGATCAATACCCAGTTTTAGCTAATCTCGCAAACTTACTTGAAATAATAGGATCATACTTTGCACAAAGGTCTTGAAGTTATATACATCATCTAGACCACCTTTGTTCTTGACATGCATGAAGAATGACATGCCGAATATAGCGAAGATGAACATGACTAAGAAAAGTAGTAGACAGATGTTAAATAGAGCTGGCAGTGACATGGCTAGCGCGAACAGCAGGGTACGAATACCCTTGGCGCCTTTTACTAATCGAAGTACTCGACCGACTTTAGCTACTCTTACTACTCTCAACAAAGTTGGCGATACAAAATATTTTTCTATAATATCGCTCAGCACCAAACCTGCGGATAAATACTCATGGTTAATATTGAAATGTAAACAACCAGATAATCTTTTAATTTTTACTAAATAATCAATTACTTACTAAGAATAGAGAACATTACAACGACGAAATCAAATAGATTCCATGGCTCAACAAAGTAATGGTATCGCAAAGCGAATATTTTCAACAGGCACTCTGAACTAAATATTACTATAAATATCATATTGAGGTAGTCGAGCACGTTGCTGAAAGTGTCCGACTGCTGATAGTGGTCCAGTGTCATCGTCAACATGTTCAAACCGATGAACAACATAATTATCATGTCAAATTTCTTATCTGTCACTATTTCAAACACTATCGCCTGTGGCCGCCACTGTAACAAAAGTATAACAATATGGGTGATGTTTTTTTTCTTCTTCGTCTATTAGGTAGATTATCAAAAAGTATTGGACAAGTACTTTTTATTTTTTCACATTGTCAAAACATTACAGAGAAACTTATATTGATTTGAAATGTCGCATGACGACACGTCTTGGTACAATTTTTACTTAGACGTGACGTCATGAGCTTCCAAACATTTGGTCGATTAACAAAAGAAAAACAAAATCTGAGGACTATATAGAATTTCGTTTATTTTACCCAGTCATCACCCCTATTAAACCCTGTCATTGGTATCGATTCCGGCATGATTCTCTAAACCTACACTTAAATTTGACAACAGTGTATCCTTGTCATTCTACATACAGAATGAAAAGGAGAGACTGATGTTAAATTTAGTTTTAAGTTTAGAGATTTACGCTAGAATCGACATCATTATCAATTAAGAATTATTTAAATTAATTTAGTTTTGTAATGGCTGTATACCTTTGGTCTTGGAATAGCTTTTAAGGGTTTCTTCGAACCCATTTTCTTCATGGCATTATAATATTTCTTTTGATCCTCTGTCATGAACATTTCCAAGCTACCGCCTGCTTTCTTCTTTTGTTCGTTGAAGTTATCAATGATCACACCGATGAATAGATTAAGTGTGAAAAATGATCCAAAGATGATGAAGAATACAAAATACAAATACATGTATATATTCGTTTCTCTAATTGGCTGACGTCCGACCTGAAAATAAAAGAAATGGGTTATCACTTTGTAACTGCTATATTTTCATATCTAAATAGATTTTTTTTTCTATAAAAATTGCAGGTGTGCTGGTTATAAGTACGTTATTTCACGATACACGATGAGATTTCGTTTTTTATACATACTTCTCTGGAATCGATAGCATCGTTCATGATCTGAATCCATCCTTTGAATGTAGCTACTTGGAACAGACAGAGGTACGCTTTGCCTACGTGATCAAAGTTCATCGGTGAATTTTCCCATGTATAGTTTTCCAAGATACATGCATTTCGGTCTGGTATAATTTCGTGACTTAGTGTTGTGTGATTCAGGTCAACGCACTGTAATAAAAAACAAGATGCTCGAGTAATCAAATCGGAGTTAACTTTAACCTATACACTTTATTTGCAATTAGATAAAGGATTGATACCTTGAAATATTTTCCGGCAAATAGCTGCACACCCATAATGGCAAAGATAAGCCAGAAGATGAGACATACGAGCAGCACGTTGAAGATGGAAGGTATGGCTTGCACGAGGGCGTTTACCACCACCTGTCGCACAGAACTCAGTGTCACCATAATGTGCTGATTGACGCAGCAACACAAAGTATTGTTACAAAGGCATTTTGGTCAAAAGTTAAATTGCAAAAGCAGTTCATGGTTTTTTTTTTAAATTATTACTGTATAATATTTTCAACAAAATGATTTCGAGACGTAAAATCAAAGCCACATAATTATAAAGGCAGTCGTACAATCAAAATCATGCATACAACATATTCAAGTTTAGCAACATCAAAATAACAACATAAAACAAACAGCTCTAAAATTTTAACTTACCTTAAGGAAAAATATATGACATTATCCAAGTCAATACTAACACATGCGATCCATAAGAGAGCCTACGATGAAGACAAGAAGATAATTTCTAAAGTGCAGAATCTAAGATAAAGTACCAAGGTAACTAATATCTATACTAACGAGTAATGAAAGTTCAAGAGATAAAGTACCAAACATGACAATGAATTCTTAACCCAACTTGAGTCCAAATTAACCAGTATCTAAAAAAGAGGATGTAACGAATGTGATGATACTAAGCCATTCAGGGGTGCCACCGCCGATTTCAAAATGATCATTTACTAATAAACTGATAATCGTGACTACTGCCGATGATTTACAGTATTCTAATGTCTGCTTTGAAGTGTTCGATATTTGATAAAATAAGTTTGAATGAATTGATGCAGAAAGGTTTCGAGAAGTGGAGCTTTATATTTTGCGAGAGCATTGTGATGTTAATGAGATCGTAGAAATGTACGATAGCATAGCATGGGCATGTGGCATGTGAGTGTGAGAGTGTGACGCGTGTATTGAGCCGCGAGCAGGGCGGTACGTACCCTCATGCCCTGCATTCGGCTCATGGCCCTGAGCGGTCGAAGTGCGCGAAGCGTTCGCATCGTTTTGAACGCCTGAATGCCACCGGCGCCACAAAGCGCCGCTACGAAGTTTATAAGCGAGACCTGATGAAATTAAGGAACGTATTTTGAGAAAACACAACATTAGATATGGATGTTTAAGGTTATCTTATATAAAATCAGAGACCCTGAAAAACTATAACACAATAAAATCACAACCTTAATGCAGTTAGACCAAAGCTGCAATGAAGGAACCAAAGAATTGCCAATGAACAATTTAATCGACCTATTATACCATACGAGGTTTTTAAGAAATAACACAAATGTGTATAAAGAAGAAACTATTGACAACGATCAGGGACTCCAGGAACACCCGTGATAAATCCAATATTGGATTTTAGTAGACGACTGAAAAGATATTTCACCCCAAAATTTTGCGCCTATATATATTTATAATTTGTAGGTAGGTAATAATAAAATAAACGTACTTTATATATAAGACACCAATAGCATTCAACATAGATTAGGTATGTGCCATTTTCACTACATATCTGGAAAAATATAGCGTAGGTGGCATTCTGACAGTAGGTATATTTTTGAAAAAGGCACAATCTAATATAGCACAGAAATAAAGTAGTGCTGCATCATGCATTTGAAGATACTGGGTTTCAAGTTAAATCACACTATGACGGCAGTGTAATAAAGACACCGGTATTGTCGTCGAAGAGTATGCCAGTAGCAGGAGTCGTGGGTAAGAGACACAATAAGCAGTATCCACAGACAAAGTCACGACATAGAGAGCTCCAGGCGAAGTGAGACCAGTCAGAGTCATAGCTCCGATAAACACCGAACAGAGAAAGCTATACGCTTTTGTTACGCTGCCCTTTGACATAGTGGAGATGAAAACAACGGTGATATTCATGAAACAGTCGGGAGGAGCAGGTGTGCTTAGGTAAACTGACAATGGATATCGGTCAATGAGCAGCGTACGTAACGGACCCACATCGATTGCGTCACTTTCAGGGTTGCCAACTGTTTATGCAGGAAATTTATCATTACAGAGTTTGAAATCACCACAAATTCTTTTATTATTTTACCATCAAACAAGCTATTCAATGATAAAAAGTAAGAATAAACGTGCGTTTATTTTCAGTATTTCAAGACTAGACTCGCATCTTAAAGAGTTGAGAAGTAGTTTTTTAATTGTTTTTTTTTAAATATTGTCATCGTTCAGGATCACGATATATTTAGTCAGTTGGCAGCCCCGTCTCTTGTCGTTCGTGACGGCGCGTACTCACGCGCATGCCCTCCCATCTTGAGACCGCTCGGAGCGGGCGCAGAGCGCGCAACGTTCGCATCGAACGGAACGCGGGGATGTCGTCGGCCCCCGCCATCACCGCCCCGTGGTTTACAAGCGACAACTAATGTCATACTCAATATCAATTTCTTTATCATTAACTTACAATTTTAGATGCCCTACTGATAACGTGTATGTGCTAGAAACCCTCTAATGCATATTATGTAAGCGACTTACGTTTACGTACACTTCTTTCACATTTTTCATTTGGCAATGCTGTTTATTGAAGCGTCATTATCCATGCCATTTTAATCTTCATAATTTATACATTTTACTTCATACATAACTTATTTAATATTAACTGCACATTTGTTATAAAGTATTGTTTAATGAATAATCTGTTGTGTCAAAAAAAATAGATTTTTATTTTTACCATGACAATGATGAAGTCGAGCCAGCACCAAGCATTAGTGAAATACTTTTGGAACCCGAGAGCCAGCCACTTGATCAACATCTCGATGAAAAATATGACAGTGAAAATACGGTCCATATAGTATAAAATATCTTGCAAAATCGGCCGATGTGGTAAATGTACATCTTCTAGAGCCTGTTAATGAAATTATTATTTTTAAAAAGCAGTTATCTATATTTTGGTCATAGTTTGATTTCAAAGAGTGTAAAGAAGGACTTACCAAGGCCAAGCTACTAAGTAAAATCATTGTAATCACAGCCGTTTCAAAATAAGTGTTTTCTATGAGTTTGAAAGTCTTCAATCGTAACATGCCCCAACCCTGCCAGAAAGGCGATTCATCATCTCCCGCGAGGAAAGGAAACTTAGCATAACATGGCTCAGGGCAACAGTCTGCGGGAGTATCGTCTACCACGTCTTCATCAGCTGCTACAATAATATCTTGTTTTCCTAACTCGCCTTCCAATTTATCTTCTTCTTCTTCAATCATCTCTGTAATTAAGAGAATTAATTTATTGTTCAATCATTGCTAGGCAAATTTTACTTATGCTTGAAGTTTTCGAATAAACAAAATCTATAAGTACCTTCTTCTAGACCTAATTCTTCTTTACTGGCATCTTTTTTCTCTTCACCATCTATCGTGTCTGCAGAGCCTTTATGACTTTCATCTTTAAATGATCTAATCTTATGGCTACCATATGACTTTTGACTTATTGTATCGTCGTCCTGTATGGGATATCCATGGTGGTTCAGTTCGCAGTCTAAACGATTGTCTCTAAGATTATCCGTAATTGCATTAATATTATTCATTAAAATTTTTCCTTTTTCATATTTATTGTCACCTGTAAAATTTCATGAGTCTTAAAAATATAATTATCAGCAGTCACTTACAAAATACTGTTATTTATTATTATATTTATTAGGAGCGTACTGTGCAGATATTTACCTGGTATTGTGAATTCCATACCATCACCTATAGCTACTTCTACTTGATCTTTGAGTTTCTTATCTTTGTACAGGACTGCATCATCGAGGTCAGTGCCCAGTTCTAGCTCGTTGTCCACGCGTTCTGAGGAGACACAGCGGCCGCATAAAGCCGCCTTTAAGCCTACATGCCGCGCCACAGTGCGTCGACGTCGCCAATGTCCAAGCATAGAAATCAGACCAGGATACAACCACCATGAGAATTTGTCCAATATTATCAATTTTATCTTTTACTTTAAGATATTCAAAATATTGATTGAGATAATTTTGAGTAATCGTGTTTTCTTTAAAATTCAAAACTAAATCGAATGAATTCAGTATTAGAATATTATGTCCTGACATAATTGAAATTGAAAAAGGTTTTTTTAATTAATGGATTAACTAATAACAATGATATACACAAATTATTTACGATAAATGGTAACAACGAAACAATATTAGAGATAGGTATGTTATATTGTTACAAATTATGACATAACACCAAAATCGATACTTATACAATACATGCATACATTGATTTACATATAAAAATGTCAAGTGTCAAGCGTACTTACCGATTAATAACCATGAAATGGAAATAAAAGCCAACACGGAAAAGGATACAAGGTATGGATGTTGAAAAAAATGGGTCAGGTAATTACGAAATCTAACACACGACAGTCATAGATACAGGGTCATTTCTACACTTGGAGCTAGGTCGCAGGCAACGCACAGTGAACACACACGAGAAACATTAAGAGGCACAAATAGTCATCAAATAATTTACAAATATATTTATTAAAATCAAACCTCATGCTACATCTTAAATATTTAGTTGCTCGCCATGCTAGTTGTATCATTACATTATCACAAAATTTAAATAAAGGAGTTCTAATGAACGAGATACTTTTTCGTTTCATAACTTTTGATACACGCGAACAAGCTTTTGTCCGTAGATAACGCCATAACACTAAAATCCCATAATTTGAAAAAATATAATTGAGTAGGTCTATTTTTGTTAAACAGTTTTTGTTTTTACTTTGATTAGGTAATTACGTATCCAGTTTGAATCAATAAATAGAGGCAAAGTTCTAGAAAATATGTAAAAGTATTGATTAGACCTCCTTTTTTAACTTTATTCGTTATTTATATTTCATTAGAATTTTGCTTTTTTTACCCCAATATACAAATTACACATATACCGTGTACATTCATGCCACAGCATACCGACATAAACAGTAACACAAATCTTACCGGGTGCGTGTATCGCTATTTGATTGGTCAGTTTGTTTTTCAGTATCTTCAGGAAGTCGGCTACATTTCGTTTCACCCAGTCAATGAACCTTGATATCCTGTTGAAGGCCTCTGCTATTTTGTTCGTGTCCTGATCAGCAGTTGGAGTTGATAAGCTCGATGAGCCAAAATTTGAGAGTAACAGGGCCAAGAAGAGGTTAAGCACCTGAAAATGGATTTAACTTGTGGATAAAAGACAAAGAGAAATATGTAACTAGTCCAGAAAAAAGCAAAGTAACTTACTATTCCAACCGTTAATGTACCGTAATTTATTCTTAATTGCTTATTAATGTATCAAAATAAAAGACAAATGTTGATAAGAAATTTTACAATGTTTTTTCGAGCTTACCACAAGATTTCCAATGACGACTGTAGCCAAGAAGAAAGGAATGCAAGACACATCTCCCACCAACATACAGTCCCACATACTCTCGATCCATTCACCGCATAACACTCGAAATACGATCATGAAACTGTGCATGAAATCCGTGAAGTTCCATCTCGGAAGGTCTCCGTCGGGGAAGCGGTCCACGTAATCTGCACACCCAGAATGATACTTCGAGACATCAGAATATTTGACAAAAGTATATGAATTGTATTTTTTCGAAGCTTGAACGTTTTACAAACACTTAAGTTGTAGCAACTGTACTTGTTCAATTAAAGCTATTATTTAGTATTCTTATTTTCTTTACTTTGTCTAAACAATATCAACTAACATTCAAGCATCTACTTATTGAGCAATTTTTCTGTAAAGATGATTAGTAATTAGACAAGCAGCATTAACCAACTTCTAAGTGAGCTAACAAACATTAACCATGCACTGAATACTTACATTACTGAATTATAAATAAATACACAGGTATAATCGTTACAGTAACGAGCAGCTAAAAGATTAGTAGAGAGGACACAAGTAAATAAATCAATAATTATAATAAAAATAAATGTATACGTATGCATAAGGAAGTTTGAAGATATATGATAAAGTTTGTAAGCGGGCGATGAGCGTTTCACAAGTGAGGCGCCTTCTAATCGCTCGGTATGGCATACATATTGAGGGTCCATAGCTCATTTGGAAGGGACACGACACGATTGGCCAATCTGGGTGAAGTTGAGCACAATAGTGTGACGCACATCAACACGATACTTTCTATTCATACAGATTTCGACTGGTTAAAACGTGGAAGTTTTACTTGTGGAATGATAAAAAATAGTTATTTTTTAGTTTTACTTAAATGAACATACTAATTCAGACATTAAAAGAAATGGGTATCTGGAGAAAAAAACAAAAAAAAAACCTCCGCGGATTTCATAAGTAAATATGATTTTCTTTATGCGACTTCCAGTTTTTAGCCAGCTTTAACAAAGCAGTGAATGTATCTCCTGTTTTAAAAAGTCAACGGTTAGTTGGCTCAGAAAAACATTCACCGTCGAGTACATTGGCTGCAACCATTGTACCATCACCAACAGTCAACACCTCCAACCAAACATCAATGAACATGCAACACTCCCACCAATGCACTTACCGACATAATTTTTTCCGAACAGTTGCATACCCATCACCGCGAATATGAAAATAATGATGCACAATACGAAGGTCAGGTTGCCCAAGGCACCCATTGTCCTACCCATTATAGAGATGAGTAAATTAAGTGTCGGCCATGACTTTGCCAATTTGAATACTCGAAGCTGCAAGTACAAATTGTGAAACAACGCGTCACGCAAGCTCGCTTACCGGCGCTTCACCTATGCTACTGCAGGAACCTCTCTCGAGCCAGAACTACTCACACCTTCTCAGCCTCCCATCCTTGCCTCTCTGACTGATTGTGAGTGGTTCTGACTCGTCCGTCATAATTAGCAAATGTGTGCTTGAGTTACCTATCGATGTGCATAGACATATTATGTATATGAGTGGGATATATGTTATCAAATTTAGTGAGAGCTTTTGCACCAATATCGTTTCATATTCATGTTATTATTTACATGTTGTATTTATTTTTGCGATTTCTACTTTTGACACAGTCTGATCTGTTACGACATAGATCCCATCAGTATAAGATCGTCAATAATACCCTCTTTAAAGCGAAGCTGCAAGTCAAATCTAATGTAACTCGATGCAAAGCTTAAATCATGATCTCAAGCTGCGTGGCATAGCTTTATAACGTGTCTCTTCAGGCCACGTGTTCGAGCCACAGTCGTGTTATAAAGCCTCAGCGGGACCCACAGTCCTTTTTATGAAAATAATGTTCAACCAAAGCCCAGTGTAGTTATTTCGAGAGTGTGAAGCTGAATCAATAATGAAGCTTAGTTTCTTTAATTATAGAGATGCTAAATTTTTTTTCAATCTGAACCTGTGTAATTCTTCCCAAATAACTGCATTCCCATCACCGCGAATATGAATATAATGATGCAAAGTACAAAGGTCAAGTTCCCTAAAGCTCCCACAGTCCTACCCATTATGGATATTATAAGATTTAGCGCCGGCCAAGACTTGGCCAGTTTAAATACACGCAGCTGAAAATATTTCATCACATTTACACATTATGAACACTCATATATTTATCGATATTAGTGAATCGTGGTGTATGTTACGGATTAAATACAGTGTAACATATTACTAACAGTAATAAGTTTAATAGGCCAATTATTTAAACCATTAATAATATAATCTCGCATACAAAACGTAAATATGTTGCTGTCATTGTAGTAGGTAATTTGGTATTATCATGCTTTTACGTTTTATGTGCCTAGTCTCATATGTGTCAATGATATAAACAAAGTAGCAGTTCGTATAGCATAAGATGTTATCATGTTATTAATATGTTTTCATAAATAGATAATAATACAGAGATAAGTTGTATTTCTAGATTACAATATTGAATACTCAGTTGATAATTTACTATTTATACTTATTATATTAAGTTTAAATGACTAAATTTCTGTACTGCTTTATCTGAAATCGTAATTTAAAGGATTTATCATTAATCTACTATCCAACAACAGGATAAGAAACAAATTAAGATGAAATGGAACTTACCAAACGAAAGGAACGTAATACTGACAAACCCTGAACACCTTCCAGTCCCAATTCTAAAAGTGATAAGGCCACTATGATAAAATCAAATATATTCCATCCTTCTTGAAAATAGTACTTTGGGCTCATTGCTATAAGTTTCAGCATCGCTTCTATACCGAAAGTTGCAGTGAAAAACTGTAAATTAATCAGAACATAGTAATTTGTAAACACATCGCCTACAACAAATGTTAAGTAGTTAAAAAAATACGTACATAATTGCCACTTTTGAGAGCTCTCTCCATATCTTTGTCCATATCGTGATGATCCAAGGCCATAAACAGTGTGTTGACGACAATACACAGGGTGATGAAGAGTTCCACGAAAGGATCGAACACAAGCAGTGCGACATACTTCTGAAACTCCAGCCACAACCAACAGCAGTCCCACACACAGAAAAAATCTATGCCCTTCATGAGGCATTCCAAGAGTCTCTCCTTGAGCGTGGGCCCATCCTCATCGTCTTCCGCTGTTGGGAAGTAGTACACTGACACTGTTGTCCGGTTTAGGCGGAGTGCGTGTGTGTGTGTTAGATAGAGAGACAGAAAGAATTTTGTTAGTATTCGCTCATTATTTTCTGATTTCGAACCGAGTATTTCCAATAAAAATCATCTTCGGAACTTCAAGCTTTTTCTGTCTGACGCGATTGCGGCTTCAGTCAGCATGCATTTGGTTTGTCATTTCCTTGAAGTAAGTTTCTTTGAAAAGCGGCCCTTCAGATGCTTTAGCGACGTAGTCTACTCGCTGTCGCGTGAGACAGAAAACGCTCTCAAATTTATCGATATTGGACAGGACTCGGTTTGTTATTCTGAATTAAGAGCACAAATATCCATATTTTTTGCGTTTCACTGGCTGTCATTTATGTTATAGAAATCGACGAACAAACCAGCGGCACTCGCTGTGAGGTAAAATAAACCCCGTGAGGGAGGAGGGTCCCATGGTTACAGTCATACGTGCGTTCGATATCGTGCAAATCAAAACCAAGCCAGTAAGTACTTCGTGACCAAAACTGCGTCTAAGCTGTTCGCTTAAATACTCAACATGATAGATGATCAAATTTTTGCGTTCAATTACTTAATGCATCAAAATCTTCGAGAACCAAAAAATATGAATACCGTGATGTTACAATCACAAAATGAGCAACATCAATTAATTCGACGATTACACTAAACATCGTATTTATTTTGTAAAATTTACATGATTTTTTAATTTTATAAACATAAAATTATATCTAAGTTACGACACTTTAAACTTCTAACTTATTGATGCAATTCAATTACGTTTAATAATACTAAAAGTGCAAGCGACACACAGAAAACAGTAAGCATAAATAGCAAGCATATGTGATCTTGATTAGTGATGCAGTGCATGAGCGTGTTTAATGCAGCTAATTTTTTTTTTTAATTTGAGGTGTTCTTCGTAATGTTATGCTTGATGAATTTGAAGATTTGAAGTAGCAAACAATTTTATAATCTGTGTAATGGTAAGTTGTCACAATTTCATAGGCTCAAGCCTAGCCTTCTCCCTCTCTATTTACTTAAGACAATTTCCTAAATCCTTACCCCCTTATTAATAAACGAAAAATAAGGTTGGATTAGTTACTCCATGTTTTATCTCTGTTCATCGAATGACAAAAGGCCTTTGAGTAATATGAACAAAACACGACGTAAGCTTATTCCTTGTTTATTAATAAGAGGGTTAGAGTTTTAGTGATTTTTCATATTTAATATCCATATTATCTGGTGAATATAATAAAACTACCCAAAGAATATTATTTGTTTACAGATCAAATTCAAAAAGATCTGAGCTCTTCGTATGGTGTGTATGTGTTTTATCTAACCTTTAAAGCTCAAAAGTTACATTAAATAACGATTCTTAAGAAATTTTGGCTAAAAATATGTTTCTATGTCTACGATGTCTGTATGTGAATTTTGGTTAATCTAATTAAAAAAGTAGGCATGGAAAGTTTATACTAAATTTGACAATGTGGTATTAAATATAAATTAAAATAAGTGCCCATGTGAAGCTTTGCAACGACTATAGTTAAAAACCAAAACAAAAAGTCATTGGTTCAGCTCAAGTGTCCTACAGTGCAGTTATCTGGAACCGTGCCACAAATCCTTAACCGTTTTATATCATGTATAGCGACAAAGTAAATAATATCAGATGCTTTTCGACTTCTGTAATTTTTTAAGACTTTTGTAAACTAAATTAATTAGCCAGGTGTCGAGTAAAATGAGCGAGCTATATGAACTGTTTGATTTTTTTGTTGTTTTAAATTAAAATCTTGATTTTCATAACTGAGGTACAGATCACCTATTTATGGCTAAAAACCTGAGCTTTTTTGTAGAAAGAAACTAAAACTTTTTATCTCAATGATCTTTACGCATATTTTTTCCTTTTTCATAAAAGTTCAGTTTTTTATTTTCTTTTTTTATACGAAACAATAGTAAACCTCTTGCAACGACACACGGGGTGCACATGACTCATCTCTAAGTGTCGCCTCACACGGGCCACTTGCCACAGCCACAAACGCCGCCACGAGAAGCTAGAAGCGACTACTAAAGTGGCTGAAGCGCGCGACAGCGGCCGACTAAGGTAAGGGAGAGAGGGGTGGAGAATCGCGCGAGTGACGTGTGGCGGCGTTTTGTATCGGCGCATTAAGTGGCCGGTGCGGGCCACAAGAAGCGAGCAACGACGAATTGTAGCCTGTGGCGGCCACCGGCGTACCATGTGTGGCGTGTCCATATAAAATGTATGAAATATGCCGGTGGCGGCGTTTTGTGGTTGTGGTCGGTGGCCCGTGTGCGGCGAAACTAACTGACGCAAAGATTGGCAGATTAACACATTTCATGTCAAGTTTGAATGGCACGGCCCCGCGTGTTATTTGGCAAGTAATCAGGTAGTGCAAATCAGGTTGTGTAAGGCGATGTGTTACTGCTGCCAGACCGAAAACTATAATTTATTTTTTATTATAAACTATCTAATCATTTGACAACTGAACAATTATACTAAATATCCCCCCTAATAAATAAATAATGCACCCTGAAGAAAGTTGACCAGATTTATTTCAAATCACATTTTTATATGCGAAATATTTTTATGATCCTTAAAAAATATTATCACCTAAAAATACACAATTGGTTGTCAATTGTATTTTTTAGGTGAACATATATTAAATTGTAGATTATGTAACAAATTGCATTTTTTTTTGATGATCACTGAATAAAGTGCCTTTTTATATTTTATCTTAGGACATACAATTATTTTCAAATATCTAAAAACTTTATGGGATAAGAGTAAACAGTACGTTAAAAACATAAATTGATATTGTGGAATATTGGTACTGAAGAGCCAAATTAACGTCGTTGTTTACTTTCCTGTTTCTGATTTTCATTGATTCGTCTGGCTATTTATTATTAAGATATATAACATAACGTCTAACAAAAAAAAAATGTTGATTAGCCATAATTACATCTCAACCCCAATTCATAACGTAACAACGTTTGATTGATTCAATGTTTACTTGAAGCTTGTTTTCCCCTGGCAGCGTTGTGGCAAGCATTCAAACACGTTTACACAATAAATGACATCCACAATTTGTATTTATTCCTTTGCCAATTATGCTGTGTTTGCGCATAATGAGCAAATACCGAATGTTAAGTGTTTAATTGTAAATTAAAATGCTAGTGTAAAGTTCTGTGAACTTTGATTATTTACACCCTATATACCGATTAACTGCACGGAAGCGACGCTAAAAATATCTACTACATATGGTAGATATACCCGTCGCTACACATGCACACATTGACTGCTTTAGTATAATCTGACATTAGACTCACGCACATATTGGGCTTAACATGAGCCGTTTTCTTTGCGTGGTTTGTTTGGACTGCTCTATCTAGGCATATAAATAATCAAAGTCTGTCAAGTATTAGGTAATGTCTGTAAATTATGTTCAGTCAATTTGGTAAAGCATAATTTGAAACATATTAAAGTAAAGGACATCGATATTAAGAGAACTTAGATAATGCACAAGACAGCGTTGTTATATAGGCAACAACATTTAGATGTTTCGTTTAAGTGTTTACCGTTTTGCTCGCTCGCCCTGCTCTGTCTGCCGGCCTGCTCGATTATCTCATTTAGTACCATTACATCTGAAACAGTGTTATTGTTAATTTATTTATTGATTTCAACCATCATTGTTTATTGGGAGCGAAAAAAACACACAGATATACCCCAGCTGCTAACATTCTCAAGAACGAAAGAAACAAGTTCATTCTTCGGCATATAGTACTGTGCTAGTATTCTATAAGAACAAACTCACTTTTCACCTCGCAATTCGAGATGTGATTTAAAATTAGAACACGATTTTGAAATAAATTTCAAATAACACCACCAAATTCCGCAGTGAAAAGTGAGTTGGTTCTTACGGAATAGCACTGTTGATACCGCGCAGGTAGCATTTTTACTTACGCCCACTTGCAGCAAATTTGCTTAATTTCGATTTAACAAACATTACACTTAACAAATAGAAAAATGTCAAAACGACAATGTCAATTTGACATGATTGTATGGGATGAATCAAGTTGTTAAATTGAGATTTAGTAGCAAAATTACTGCAACAACAATTGAGCTTGACAAGAATGAATGAATATTTTGAAATAATAGCGGACAGGTTATTATTTACACGAAATATTTTATGTGATTGGGAGACCGTCACATTTTTTTCGTACAATAACTTAAATCCGAAAAAAGTCAGATGTATCGTCATTTTTGTGGTGTATACAATATAATTAACTGATTCTTATTGTCTTTTTTCTCTACAATAAACATGGTAATATGGTAAATCTACAAGTACTTATCTATTTATAATTTCACGAAAAGGGTAAAAAAATAATTGACTAAAGATACTTTTTATTGATCGAAGGCATTTATATTTTTTCTTTTATTAGTGCTGGAAAGGATACACTTTGTTCACACATAGTGCTGGAAAGGATACACTATATTCACACACAGTGCGTTTATGTCAAAGGAGTAATATACCAACCTCTCATATCCACCACATTAGGCTGTTGTGAAGATTCAATAAAAGGGTTGTCATTCGATGGTTTCAGTACTTTGCCAGCCTCATCCGTACACTCGGTCGTGCTCATTTCCTGAAATAGAAAAAACAAACATCATTAAAACCTTGTGTATAATGTAACGATTATTGTTTTTGTTAAAATTTCTTTAGAAAGATCTGTTTTTAATCCAAGTAACTCTCAACTGCACGCTACGTGCTACGAGGCTACGAAGCTTCTACGACACGTGCTACGTTGTTAAACCTATGATCATTGCGTCATTACGATCGACTAAAGTCGCTGTTGCGAGTACCTAAAATTATGTAATAAATTAAACGAGAAAAGATTTGAATTTAAAATAGAATAAAAAAGAATAAAATAAAAGCTATTTAAATTGACAAATTGTTGTAGTATTTACCTACGTACTTGGTAAAAAATCTTTATTAATTCAAACAAGTCATTGAAACACAGTAACAAGTGTAACAACGCATACGAAATTCTGAAAACCCACGTACAAATTTTTATTTCTCATGTTTTCACGCACACCGATCGTTTAATAATTATAAAAAAGTGCGATTTATATTTTTTTTTTCATTATTTATGTCGTTTCGCCAGACATGTGAAATCTGATAGATCGAGTTTAAAAAAAAGTTCTCCGTACATATATTGTTTTCGCGCCTCCTTGGTTTGCACCTTACCACCCAGCAGATCCCCGTGCGATGTGCATGAGAGCCGCGACTGTTGAGATGTATACGAAAAGTGGCGAGATCCTGGCGAGTTTAAACCTACGAACATATTCTCTGAGCGGCCTTGAGGCGAGCAACGAGTCCTGTCTTGGCATCGGGTACGCGTGCGGCTAGGACGTGACGCTGTGGTTGTTTAAGACAGAGCAGCCTCGGTGGCGCACCTCTTTGGTCTGCGCCTCACCACCAAGGAGGTCTCCGTGCGACTTGTACGATAGGCGCTACTGGTACGATGTGTACGTAGAGTTGCGAGATCCTGGCGAATTTAAACCTACGTACATATTCTCTGAGTGGCCTTGAGGCGAGCGACGAGTCCTGTCTTGGCATCGGGTACGCGTGCGGCTGCGACGTGACGCTGTGGTTGCGCGAGGCGGAGCGTCCTCGCAGCCGCGCCTCTTTGGTTTGCGCCTTGCCACCCAGCAGATCCCCGTGCGATGTGTATGACAGACGTGACTGGTGCGATGTGTACGAAGAGTGGCGAGATCCTGGAGAGAATAGAAATAAATAATTATAATTACGTATTAGACAGGGCTAGAGGTGTGGAAACCCTGGGGCAACGAAGCCTTTAACGAAGGCGTATTTGAAATCTGGCACACTGGCCCAGTTACGATTTGCACGCCCCTGGTTGGTGACCGGACAAAATTTGTTTGTCTATTATTTTTGTTGTGGAGGCCCCTCTCTTGTAGCTTTCAGCCCCGAGGTGAATAATATTATATTTTCAGACTCAACTCCCCAAATATAGTTGTGGTTGAACTTAATCATCATTATCAATACATTCTAAAAAGCTCCTAATAATGATACTATGCTGATGGTGTTGAAACTTATTTAGTTTTGTAATTGTTAATGATGAAAACCAAATATTTGTCCTCATCATACAAATAAATGGTACTATTAGGATTCGAACTCAGACCATTGAAAAAGAAGGTAGAATCGTTACCGTTTCACCATTACGTCGTCAAATTAACAATTTTATTACTAAGTTTATGAGACTCTGTAGAGCGTAAAGGACATCGACGAAATCGGCCCTAGCATGCCCAAAAGAATGTCCTTCACTTTTATTTTTCTATTATTTTTTTAACTTATTAGCAATTAATCATAGTAAACGGACAATCTGTTTAAAAATTAAAAGTTCTGTTACTAGATACTACAGTCTGTTCATCCAACTTGGCACTCCTTTTTATTGAAAATACAGCATTAAAAATCAACTGATAACTGGATTCAATAGGTTTCAGTCTATAATAACGATTTATTTTAATAGTTTATTGGCTTCGTTAATATTTTATTATTAAATGGGTGATTCTGTTAAAAAGTTGTGCCAAGATTGTTTACCTTAGTAATGCAATATAGGCGACCATAGGTATTTATCAACATAAAAATAGAACTAGGTACCTTAGTTAATAATACTTAATACTAGTATTTCTATTATATTTATGAAAAGATTATTTCTGAAATTATCTAAAGATAGTTTATACTCCCATCCCATGTAATATCTGTTTATTTTTATGAAAATCATAATGATAACCAGGTACATACCTAATTACCGATTGTAAACTGTAGGAACAGGTAAATGGAAAGACTGAACATTTCATTTGAAAAGAAATCTATCATTACTTACTACAGGTATCATAGGTACCAACTGACAACACTCATAAATCAATATGAATAGAAGCATTTATTATTTTTATTATTAATTGCATTTTATGTTCATTTAATGCATATTATTTAAGTGCTTACATAGAGGTAAACACTAAATCTATTCAGAATATATAAAGTGTACATCTTTTATGATTAAGTATAATAATTATAACCTCAAAATCTAATACATTCTGTAGTAGGCCACGGTTCCTCAAGTTGTCCGTATCTCAACAAATGCTTATTTATAGTTTATGAATGATTCCGAACACAACTAGCATTTTCTCATTGCTGGGCGTTCTAGGGCATTCAATGTATGGGGAACGAGCAATGTCCTTATAAAGCCTTTCCTTGATCAATTAATTGAACATTTCTTTGGTCTTCTCAACTTTCCGAAGTTGTTTTATAATATTTCAGATACAATTGCGCTACTATGCTCCTTAGATTGAACTTTAGTTAGGTACTAAACTTTTGAATGAACAAAAATGTTGGTCAATGTCTGATGAAATACACAAGCTAGTTACGACAATTCGAGAACAAATGATCATATTACAGGATACTTACTCAATCCCCGAAACGTAATAAAATTTAAGCATTTATTAGGAACGTAATATAATTTAACATTTTGGCACCCAACCTAATGCTGTTAATCAGATGACAAAACATTACCTACGTCTTACATAAAAAAACATTATTAAGGTGAATAAAAAAGAGCGATTCTTTTAAGTTTCCGGAAAGGAAAATTGTGGTACGCAGCCGTAAGAAATAATACTCTGTATTTGCGTAAATACTCTGTAATGCGTTGATGCACATCTCAAAGGGAGCTTAAACCTACACCTGGATCGCAAGTCCCTGGAACTGCTCAGAGTTTCTCTCTCTCCCACAAGATGGACCTGCACGGTGAATCCATGGTTTGCTAAGAAGTTCGCCTCTTCATAGTTGCAATTACGTATCTACGCTCGCTTACCTAAATTAGCATAGTAGACTGGAATGATGATAGCACCGTTTTCTTCAGACATGGGAGTGACAGCGTTCGAGTCGTCGGCGTATGGTAGATGCTCCTGAGCGTCCAAATACGTGGACAGCACCAGGGGCTTGCGGTCCGCGCCTGGAGGGTACCGAGGCCGACCGTTCGGTCTCAGCGCCATCTGGTGGGAGCCCCTCGAACCCCGACGCAAGTTGAACGGTGATCCAGGGAGTGACAACGACGCCTGTAGTTTCACAACTGGCTATTAATACGTGTCCATGATATCCCTTTAGAAAGTACAACATGTATTCAAAAATATTTATGGTTTTTTTTTGCGACGTCACGTCGTTAGCTCTATCAATTTTCCTCAATTCAGATCTGATAGTATATGAATGTCTGAACAATTTTTATTAAATGCATTGTTACGTTACTAAAGAACCGGTTGCAGAGGCTTTATTAACTTTGTCATCCTACATTGAAATCTGTATTATAGCAATGGTATATTTACTTTCATGTGCTGATAAACGAAAGTGTTAAATAAAATGCACGCAAGAACAGGAATTGTGTATTAACATAAATATAAAATTGAGAAAGAGAAAATGATCAGTGCACGTGAATGTCTTTTTGCATCAATGCATAGTGGTAATGACGTATGTATTGAAACTGAATCCATGGATTGTTGCAAACAGACAAGAAAGGAAAAGAAAGAATCATTACAAGAATATTGATTGTTTTTTTTTTGAACAGAGGAAATAGTTTACAAAATTTACAGTAAAATAATAGGAAGGGGAGCACAAACATCAATGAGGAGTGAAGGACAAACCTGTGAGCCTTCGCGCAGTGGCCCATATGACAACTGTCCATATTTATTTATGCGTTCAGGGTGAGGGACCTTCAATCAATACACAAACAGAATTTTGAATTTTAAAACTTGTTAATTGCTTACAAAGATCAAATTATCTAGACATCGACCAAATAGGGTTAGAGGACAGAAAGGTTTCACCATAAAAATAGTAACAATAAAAAAAAACTGAAAAATGAAAAATGAAATGAGGCATGTACAAAAAGGTTGCAGCTTGAAGCAAATCGTGAGAATAACCAAATATAGTTTGGATTTGTGATGAGTTTGTCAAAACTAATAACGTGTCCAGTTATGTGATAGTAGATGGTAAAAATCTTATAAACTAAAGAATTTTTATATACAATAAGAACTTTAAGTTACATCCGTCGTGTTTGTAACGACCGTGGAAGCACCATGTAAAACTCTTATTGTAAAACAAAAGATGCTATAAAGGCGAGTGATGAATGAGATGTAAGCAACAGTTAGTCAAGTAACTTTGTTTATAAACACATGAAGTAATTATGGGGTTTTATTACATGCAAATTCGCATACTGCTAGCCCTATCGGAACTATTGATGTTTCCTCCAACACTACATCTAAAGTCATGAAGACTGTTCCTTTGTTTATCCGATTTCTAGAAGCCTCCGCACATCACTAAATCGAAATTGAGGAATCTAGTAATCATCCAAATAGTTTTATTCTATTAAAAGTATTTCTTTACTCTACGATTATTTTATATTGAACCAATTTAATTAAGAAATTAAATATTAGCTACTGAACCTACCTCTTTATCGTTGATACGTTCAGTTCAGCCTGCTCCATTTGTTAACACTCACATTGCAAAAGAAACAATCTACCATGACAATAGATTCTTTCTCTCCAATAGTATTCCTTTGAAAGGCAGGATTTCCTATTGAAGTGTTATTTCTCAGATTTAAAAATATAGTGAAAAAATTACAATAGTTGTTTCTTCTAAGATTTTTTTTTCAGTAATAAAAACTGAAGAAATATTATTGGAGACTGGTCATGAACAGATTCTACATCTGATTCATATTGCTAACTCATGCGAAATTAACTAAAAATATGTCAATGACATCATTCCTTAATATTTCAAATTATCAGTTTCATGGTGAAAAAAAAGTATATTGTAGAACGTAAAAACTCATTCGTGCACTATACGAGTATTCTGAGGAACAGAAAAATACTAGCTAGATCTAATTGAGGAAATAATGTGGCTAATGTTCTTGATGATCGCGTAGCATGACATAATGCTTAGTCATGAAATAATTGTAAATGTAGGTTACAGAAATATAACGGCATTGCAACAAAGGGATTTCAGTGAAAACAATTATGATCATGCAATTAGAGGTATTAAAGGGTACAGCCAATTGTCAGAGATGAAATGTGGTTCAAACTAAATCATAAAAGACAGACGGGGGAAAGAATAAAGGAATAGTAACTGCAAATATCGTAAATGTGATGTATTTTCAACGATTGTTAATTATAAATGTATCTAGGTATGTATAGCTTTGATATTTGCATTTACTGTCGCGTTTCTCAACCATAGGTCAACAGACATGGAACAAGATCTTAAGCTTACAGCAATAATAACAGACAATGTAATATTTCTTTTCAACTTGAACAACCGTGCTATAATGAAGATGAAGTTTGTGAAGGAGTGGACTTTTATATTGTGTTACACCAAAAACTAGAAATTCAAAGCTCGGCAACTGTATTCCAGTTATCTTGTAAGGTGTAAAAGCAGCGTGATTTTTTGAGGTCAAGTTGAAAAGAATGATTTACTCAGCCAGCAATGATTCAAAAAGGAATGGTATCTTCATAGAGCCACTATAATAATCTGAAAAAACTTTAATTTAGGTTAATTAAACTATGATTATTAAATTTGTCCTTAATATGGCCATTTAGTAAAACATCATTGATATTTAGTCTAAATTTTAGTCGATAACCGACGTCTCATTTAAAACTTAGGTTGATATTATATCCTTTTGTTTAAAATTTTCTAAAATATATTTACGGAAATGACGAATTATAAACTAGGACTAAAACATTCAAAACAATTTCATATTATTCCTCATCGAAGATTTAACTTAAGCCTGGAAAGATTGATTTATCAAAGTTATCGCTATGTATTGGTCGCTAAATATTTGTTAAAGAAGATTTACATTTGTTGTGCTCAATCTTCCTCCTTAATCACCAAGTTTTTCATCATATTTCATAAATTTTTGAACAATCAAATTTATGTTTTAATCAATTTAAAACTCATGACGATACTCAATGACATAAGGAGAAATTCTCAAAACTGAAAAGAGGTTGAATCATTGTCAGCCGTCGTTCATAGGCATCGGCGGGCGGTACTCACCATGCTGACCTTCCTTGGGCGGCGTGCGTCGTGCTCGGCGGGCTTGTGCGCGTGCGGCTGAGTGCTCACCGAGTCCTGGAAGGGGTCGCTACGGAGGGACATGCGCTCGCGCGTGTTGTCGTCCTGGTTGCCGCGCTCCTGGTTCACGAACAGCTCGTAGCTCTGGCAGGAGAAGTCGCTGGGTGATTTAGCTGGGTGCGCTTCGGCATACGCCGCCGCTTCGGCCGCCGCTGCCACTTCGCGGGCGTGCGCTTCCCGCGCTTCTTGCTTGTCTGCCCGCGCGGCTGCCTTTTGTTCAGCTTCCTGGTGATGATAATGTGTTTTATAATCTGAAACTAAATAACTAGAACTGTCGGATTAAAAGAAGATAGAGGCAATTCTCGAAACGTGTATTTTTATTAAAAAATATTAATGCTACGAGACATATCGTGGAGATTTTAAAAACTATTTACACTAGGTATAAATGCAAGGTATTATGTTATTTTAAGCTTTGTCTTAATACGCGAAACATCCGTTCTTCGAAAAGATAACCAACTGGAAATCGAAAATAAGAAGGTAAATCAGCATATTAAACTACGTCTTATTTTGTTTTTGATTATTAACTTTTTATTTTATAAGCAGTTCACATTTGTTCGAATGCCTGAACCATAGGTTTCCTAAAAACATGTTACTATCGACTTACTCTTAACGCTTCTTCCTCAGCTTGTTCCTCTTCTTCGGCCTTCTTTTGCAACTCGTCGTAGGACATGGCGACGATGGCCAAGATCAAGTTCACTAGGTAGAACGAGCCCAAGAAGATGATCACCACGAAGAACAGCACGTGCCACGAGCCAGCAGACCTCAGCACCTGTTCGCAAAAAATATTTATAGATAAATTTATTTTTTTATTTATTGTGGCTTTTTTTCTTGGAGCATGCCAGCATTAACTTATATACCTTAAGATTTTATTTATTTTTAAGCATTTAACTGCTAGATGTTTAAATCTAAAGAAAAGTTTACTAGAAAAAAATCCACGCGGACCAGGCAGCGGACGGGACTCGAACCCGCATCCTTCGCAATCCGGGCAAATGCACTGACCAATTATGCTACCTTAAATTAAATTTTGATATTACATTAAAAATAAAATAACATACTTTAAACTAAATTTACATTATTTTAAACTTATTAAGCTACATTAGCGGGGGTGAGCTATTACTATTACTATTAAGAGATTTAGAAAGAAAAATATAATACCTCAACCCCTACCATGCCATCATAACAGTTCCTCTGTATTTATGAGGTTTTTTTCTATTTATTAAAACTTGTTATCGCTTTTATCAAAAGGGGAAAACCTGACCTATGTAGGTACTACAAATTAATATTTATACACAGTTTTAATTCGTTGCAGTTCTTAAAATTTTGCACTATTATTTGACCAAGATCCACGTCGAGTCGTAAGTCTTACACAGAGACCAAACGACAAAACCGATATCTACCTTGTGATATCTGATCAAATGTTTTAAATTAACTCAAAAAATAAAAACGATTGAACGGTTTCCGTTTTCGTGTATCTAAACAAAAACGACAATATACCAATACAGAAATACGCTGGTGACGAAACGACGCAATTGGCGTCGAGCCCTGTGTAAAGTACCATAATAGCTGTTTCCCATGCGAAACGTTACGTGTACAAACGCACAATTCCTTGTTACATTGTTTTGGAACATATATATCTTTATCAATATGCTGGTTTGCTATTGAAGGCATTGTCGTTATTGCTGATAATGAATATGGGACAAAATGTTTAAGAAAGTTTGTTTGTTTCCGTATAGGGGAAATTCGTTATTGATTTCAAGAATTGATAATTGAATAATTTAGGGTGCATCCAACCAACCAAGGGGAGACATCAGCAATCAAACGGATTTTGATGTTGTTCATTTTTTAGGTTTATTTAATTCGCGATTTTGGTTCTCACTTGCATATCCTACTAATATAATTATATGTACGTAAATAGATCTCTAATATATATTATATGTATCTTAATTTAATATTTTAAATGTGAAAGTTTGTATGTTTGTTACTCAATTACGCAAATATTACTGAACCGATTTGGATGACATTTGGTACGCATATAGTTTATGACCTGGATTGAGACAGGATACTTTTTATCCCAGGAAAGTGTTAAATTCCTGAGATATTCAAGAAACTAAAGTTAACGCGGTCTCAGTCGTGGGCGGCCGCTAGTATTAAAATAATTTAACTGTGTAGAAGCTTGGCATATAATAGAAAAGTCTGTAAGAAAAACTTGAATAAGAAAAAAATAAATGAAATCTTTCTAATGTAGGTATCAATATTGTGCAGAAGTGATTGGGAATTGTTTAGTTACTTGGATTATACACTTTATGGCATCGCATTATTAAACAGATTACCTTTTATTAAGACCAGGTGGGTACACAATGAGCTCTGAGTGTATCCCTGAGCCCATAACACTAAACTTCTACACTCCTTCTTTATGTAAGTAATAAAAACGTTATCAATTTTTAAGGTATAAATCACTTTTGGGTGTCCGCGGCTTCATCTGCGAGGGAAAATTGTTTTCCCGTGCACACTTCCACCCCCCTTTTCGCCCCTTTAAAGGATGATTTCCAGGATAAAAACCATCCTATGTTCTTTTCCGGGACTCAAAATATCTCTATACGAAATTCTATCTAAATCAGTTCAGCGGTTTAAATGTGAAGAGGTAATAGAGACGGACAGACACATTCGCATTTCTAATATTAGTATGGACATGCACTGTAATGTTTCAAAATAATTTATATATTCTCATTATATTAATATGGTTATATCATTATTTACTAAGAAAACAAACAAACAAATCGGTGAATGGTCAATGCTAATATTTACATAATTTTTACCCGTTCCCCAAGATAACGGCTTACTAGAGCCGAGGTTCGAGTCTCAGAGACGCCCTCTAGTTGAGCCGACCCCCTCAGGTTCGAGTGGTCTAGAGGGTCCAGACGGAGAGGAGACTCTTCCCACGGGGAGATGCCATCCGCATGGAATACCTCTAGAGGCACTCGCCAATTCTCAGCTTGAGGTCCCCTTAGGATCTCGCCGTCCCCAAACCCGGTGACGCTGTAAAGGTCTTCTGCGACCAACAGCATACACACTCAAAAAAACATAATGTTTCTGAGATCTCACCAGTTGATAAAGATTTTCCCAGTAGTCCTGAGTCATAAGGCGAAACGCAGAGAGAAAAGCCCAGCCGAATGTGTCAAAACTCGTGTAGCCGTAGTTAGGATTCGGCCCGAAGCCCTGCAGACACACGTAGCCCGGTTCGCATTGCCTGTCAATCAATAAAAGAAATCGGCGATTAAATAATAGAGATAGGAAGAATATTTTTTTATTGCCTTTGAAATCAGACTAGCAGCTGGACCACATGAGGACTTGCTTTACCTAACAAAATATATAAAGGGGAATCGACCGGTGTTCATCTGTAGTGCAATGCACGACGTCATGTCGATGACGTATAAAAATGATTATTGTTTTTAATATAAATGAATATTCTATTTTCTTTAAGTAAATGTGTAACATGTAATCAGATACTTTTCTAAACAAGCTTAATATCATTGTAGAACATTATCGTATTGACCTACTTCAAATTACTATAAAAACCCTGTTTTCATCTCAATAAACATTCAGTTAAGACTCGACTTTTCTTGTGTTATGACTTATCCCGACGTCGCACATCACACATCTTTTGAATGCATAAAATCTAAATATTGTTTAGACATTAGTGTCTAACATACGTAAGTGGGTGCCGGCGACTTCGTCTGAGAGGAAATATTAGTTTCCTATACAAACTTTGAACTCCCATTTTACCCATTCCAGGGGTCAGTTTTGGAATATCCTTTCTTAGTGCACGCCTATAGTATCCGTTCAGTGGTTTGAGCTGTGCGTTGTTAGATCAGTCAGTAACGGTTGCCTTTTAATATATACCGACGATTTGAAGGACGAAATATGATCCATTATGGTAGGCTTTATTTTCGTAAGCTCTCTGATGTTAAGTGGACACTATCACCCATAAATATCAGCAATCATTTAAACTCAGCCATGCCACTGCCTTTCGTAACTTTTTTGTCCTTGGAAGAAAAGAACTATGGAATAGAACAGTTGTGGATTCTTGTGTTACTTAAGACTTTTAGTGTTACTTAAGGTCTCATTAAGATATACATAAAGGCTACTCAACGTGTCCGCATTCAGTATATCAGAAACTCAGATATCAAAGCATGTTTTGATCACTGAAGTTATTTACTTACAACCGAGTGATATTGAAAAACATATTTTGATCGTTAATTGCTTCTTCTTATAATAAAAAAGACATCAACGCGTTGCTGTTAAAATGATTTCTTTGTTTCCAACGCGTCAAATACTCACTTACCACTGTTACTGATTAAGAGTAACATATACACCGAGAGTTTTAAGTACTCGAGAAACTTAAAAATCGTGCAATTAAATAGAGTGCGAGCAGTTATTAACAGTAAACGTACTCCACCCCCTCACAAAAATATTGATTTATATTGTTTACAAAATATCGTAAAACGGCACAAATTTGTTTTATAATAAGATACCTGCCTATTATGGAAATTATATCCGTTTAAGGTATGCCAATCCTTTAAGTAGTACTATTCGAATCAATTAATAACAATTGAAATTGTTAAGGTTTCATAATTGCAGAAATAGCGAGTTAACGTGCAGACATTATTCGAAAAAAGATAATTTCAGAAAAAAAAACCGAATATAATCAAAATCTATTTCTAAATTAGCTGGTAAAGTTTTTCAGGGAACTCAAAATTCACGGAGTATAACTTAAAAATATGTATAGTATGATAAACAATTAAAGTTCTTATTAATTGTATATGTTTTATTAATATTTGTATTTCGTCATATCTAATTCAATATCAAAACATTTTTGTTTAATCATTTCAGAAACACAGTGACATTAATTTACATGAGACTTTCTATTACCTGTTTTTTGTTTAAATCAAATTTTCTACTATTATAAAATAAATTCGTAAACTAATTAGGCCTACTAACTTTCCATATTACTTTCTGATTTACTAATTTATCCTATTTCTTTTGTATCATGCTCTTATATAGACTATGTTATATTTATTGTTTTCCTATATATTGGAGATATGTTATTTACGGGATTGCTACCATATACCTTGTTTTAGAGAGTTCGATATTCTCGCGTAATAATATTCTCGTAGATCCCGTAAATAAGACAAATTATTAATTGTATAATGTTAGTGACCATGAAAGTTCGAAGCAATATTTTGGAGATATAATATAATAATCAATATCTCATTAGATACGACATGTAATCAGAAAATAAATAAGTAATAACAACCTGATAGTAACTTACCCAGCTCCAGACGAGTTTCCACACAGCGGGTATTCTCCGCCTTCCTCATACCAGTTCGCTTAAAAGAATAAATAATCTCTTAATCCATATGTAAATAAGCCCCTTTGTAGTATGTTAAAAGTAAATGAACACGCACTTTACCTAAACGCGTTGCTTTATTTTTATTAAAATAAACTTAATTAGTTATGTAAACAACACCTGTTGGCATAACGAATTGAACCCAAGAATTTTTGCATGATAATGGAATGTATATATCGTACAATATTTTCTTGTTTGAGATGATATGCCCACGAGATGGGTGGATTGTAATATAATTTTTTCTTCTAAAGCTATATCCGACAAGTTTACGGCTATTTCTTTATAAGAGGCGCAACAAATTCCCCATCTACCTGATTTTAAGTGTAAGTGAACTAAGATGATGCGGCAGTAGCTGTGCTACTCCAGCCATCCTCAGCTTGCCGGCCTGAACCTAATCTAGGGGAAGCCTTGGAGCCCTACACACCCTAGAAACACAATACCACCATTTTACTATGATCTTCTGTAAGGTGGACGTTGCTTCCCCAGACGGGTTCTCTAATTCGAGCGGAAAATTCGTTGTGCCCTACCTTTCTTAAAATTTAAAATCATTCGTTAAGTATTACTAACAACCAAAATAATTAATCTTTGACAATTCATCAGCGCAGTGCCGCCCCCCGTCGTTAATTTAAGGTTATTTTTATAACACATCTACATTGTTTTCTATTCAATTCTTACGGCCTTACTACATAAAAGTTAGACACGGTTTCAACACTTGTTTTGGCCTTGTTTCAAACCTTAAAATTGTGTTGAAGGCATGTCAATTTTTTTTGTGGTAATAAGTTATTGGTTCTTATGTTGTTGATCGGCGAAAATTTGATCATTTGCGAGTTAACGTAAATGCGTCGACTTTTTACACATACTGGAGTGAAAAGACTGAAGAATAAGAATAATTGACGATCTCCGTGGCCCAGGGGTTTGTACGCCGGGTTTCATGGTGTCGCCGACTCGAGAGGTCACTGGTTCAAATCTCGGTGGGGGCAGATGTTTGTATGAGCATTTGTACTCCAGTCATTGATGGTTAATATGTATTTATATATAAATAATAATTTATATTTTTATTTTTTTGTCTTATTACCTCGTCTGGGGGAGTTAGGTCTAGAGGTAAATTTTACAGAATGCGAGTTCTTTTCCTGTAGTTCGGTGGCATCTCAATCCTTCTCGTCTTTTACTTGTTTGCTTCCGGGCCTCAAGAGGCTCAATAAAGATTCTTTTAATTTGCTTGGTGCTCCTATTTTTCCATCTGCAGTTCCGGAGGCCATGAAAACTCGAAAGGATGTTCTCTTGCTGGCCAACTCGGCTTGGGCTGCGATGTATGTCAACCACATGTATGCATCTGCGGTACCATGGTGGGGGCTGACGTCCATCACGCATTGAGCTGCCGTCGATGTACAAGCGGACACCCACGTCACCATGCTCTAAATGACATAGTGTTGAGAGGTCTTAGGTCGGCCGGCGTTCCTTCCGTCCTCGAACCACCTGGTATCAGCCGCACAGACGGAAAACGGCCTGACGGTCTTACATTGGTACCGTGGGAGAAGGGACGATGTTTGGTGTGGGACGCGACGTGTGTCAGCACTTTCGCCGCTACCCACATCGGCCGCACGACACGCAAGGCTGGGGCAGCGGGTGAGTATCAGGCAACGGCGAAGCGCTTAAAGTATTCCTCGTTGGGGCAAGGATATATTTTTGTGCCTTTGGCGATGGAAACGGCGGGTTGTTGGAGCGCAGAGGCCAAGCAATTTGTGTGGGACCTGGGCCGCCGACTCAGGCAAAAAACTAATGACCTTCGCTCCGGGTCGTTTCTGGCACAAAGATTGTCTATTGCCATCCAGCGTGGCAATGCTGCAAGCATAATGGGCACCTTTGCGCCAGAAACGATAAGGGGTGATATTTAAATATTATTCTTGTACATAATGTTAATTTTAGTTATTATATTATATTTTTTAAGGTTTTTAGTTTTAGGTTCATTGTTTCTGTATATTTTTTTTAATTTATTAATTTATTTATATATATATTATATGTATTCTATCCGTTACCCTAGCGTCCCATAACATAAGCCTACAGTGCTTACTTTGGGGCTAGGCTAATTGGTGTGAGTGTTGGAAATATTTATGTGTAATTATAAAAAGACACACGCAACAAAAGGAAAGCTTAGAATGCGCAAACTGTTAACCTTCCTGAAGGGAAAGGTGAATGAGTTTATTGCGATCCGAACATTATGCCGGTTGTGAAGCTAGCAGCGAGCGCAATTTCAGTTCAGCAAATTAACCAATGTAAGGCTTGTGTTATGGGATACTGCGGTCCGTGAGACTTGTCAGGTGACGCTGTGAACAGAGAAGCCCAGGATCAGCTGAAGCGGGTGCGGGATGGGCTTTCGGTCGGAGGTGGGGTGGTTTGACGTATGTCACGCTTGTGTGAGTGCACGTCAAAGTATACCTGCACCGATTAGTGGCCCTCGCGCTGCTCGCCACTGGCTGCACCACGCACCTGTGTCGCGAGGGTTTGTTAACAGCAAACCACGCGTGGGTTGGGCATTGCTATGGATATACCGATATAATGTATTTTTTCTCTCCGTCATCGTAAAAAAAGGTAACGGATAGAATACATATACTGATACATATGAAGTATCTAGGGACCTCTGAGTAGGCGACACTTTGAAACCTGGCGTACATACATCCTACATTTCGTTTACTGGGCGGCGACTTGCGTTAACTTGACAGCCACCATATCCCCTTATAAATAAATGAGGAATGAGCTTGGACTAGTTACTCCGTGTTTTGTTCACACCACTCAATTGTCATTTTCTAATTCAATGAACAGAGACAAAACATGGAGTAACTAATCCAAGCTTATTTTTAGTTCATTAATAAGGAGGTTAAATTTAAACTAGCACACTACTTACTTTCGTTTTTGCAGAACCTGTCCCAGTTGTCATCAGTCAGGTTGCCCCAGGAGCCGTCTTCGGGAAACACCTTGATGCACTTCTGCGTGAGCACGCCCATGTAGATCTGGAGGCCCATCAGCGCAAACACCGACAGCGAGAACATCGTGAGGATGATCACGTCACGCAGGTTCTTCACCGACTCTATGACCGCGCCCACGATAGTCTTCAGGCCTGTTTTTCGTAGCAGAATATAAATATAGTAGAGGCCCACCCTCGCTTTGTTTTGGTGTAGACTACAGTTTTTATTCTAATATAGGTATGACACTTATAAATAATTTGACTTTCTATTGGTAAAAGATTTTTTAAAACCGGTTCAGTAGATCTGGAGATTAACCAACATAACAAACTCACAAACTTCACCCCTTTACAATATAAGTCTTTTTTTAAATGCCATCCCTAATACTGAATATTCTTCACGGATGAATCAATTAACGTGATACTATTTTCTCGGGTGTTTTTTTATAGAAAGCTTTTTTTTATAAAAATGGTATGGTGCAATTCAAATTTTACAGCACGAAGTTAGCTGCGAACACAACAGTTATGCGCAGGTTTTATTTTGTTAACTTTACAGCCGCCATTAAATTTAAATCGCAATCGGGTTCATTAGTTCAAATAGTTTTGGAAGGGATTCAGCTAGAGGATTGTTTACCTATACATAGTATAAATTCAAATTAATAATCAATTCATTTTCATGTCACTGCGGCAAGAACACTTCTAATACAAATAACCATGATTTTGAAATCCACAGTTATTTCAGGGCAAAAAGATAAATATATTTTTTTGTAATAAGTAAGAACTATTGAACTAAGTATTTCGCTAACATCAAGAAAAATAAATGGATACAGCTAAGAAATCTCTCCTAAATATTTTCTATTTACATCAATAGTGAATAATTTACCGGGTACAATGGCCACCGTCTTCAACGCTCGAAGTACCCTGAACGTTCTAAGCGCAGCCAGGTTTCCCAAGTCTATTCCCATCGTCACATAACTGAAAACAGATACCCACAACCACAAAATCTAAGTTATTACACATCATTCACCCACTACACTACCGTAAGGCTAATCAAACCAATGATTGTCAAAAAAACATCAATTCCTTTATTGTAACGTTTTCTTGTTTCGTGTTGCTCACAATTCACTTTCTTCTCTGTAAATGTTACTTTCTAAACAGTTATAACAAATAAAATATTTATCTATAAAAACAAAACTAGTCAATGAGACATTAACTATAAAAAATCTACGTATATAAACATTGTATCAATATGTATAAACTCTACATTAAGTATCAATAAAATTGTCTACTACTCACGCTAAAGCTATAACTACGAAGTCAAGCCAATTCCATGCATCTCTAAGGTATGTGAATGGCTGTAGTATGAAACCCCTGGCCATTACTTTCACCGCCGATTCAAACGTGTAGATCCCGGTAAAGATAACTCTGCAAAAATTCACCTCCGCTGAGGAACACCACTCAACAAAATAGACAATAATCTCAAAATAAATAATCCATACGCCAGAAGGAAGAAACAAAAATAGGTCCGTAACGAACTTGTGGGTTAAGAACAAACAAGTATTGGTATTATGGTTACAACACTACGCAGTCAGTTACTCGTTGAGATATATATGTTTAAACTAGATGATAAATTATAAACGTATGTAAAAGTTATGTTACTGGAAATCATCAGCAATGATGGCAAATATTCTGAAGAAATGAGTAAAAAATACACGTGGGTTTAAGAATGATTCTCTTTCAGATAACGTCAGATGACTTTAATGGTTTATTTAACGTCTGACGTTAGTAACTTCAAAAATAACTAAAGTGTAAGAAATGAGATTAATGTTCAAACTCGACTACAGCTTTTGACAAAATCTGTCAGGGCGATTAAGTTTGTGATCACCTTCAACGCTTCCTTTCTAAGTATTATTTACAAATCTTTATATTAAAAAATATAAATCTCATCTAATATAATAATTTGAATGGAAATTCTATGAATAAACATATTTAACTATTATCTGATGTACTAAATAGATTATTCAATTCTAATATAAAATGTAAGTACTTCCGATGATCTAAATATTAATAATTTAATTTGAAAACTAGCCGAACTCTAACAATTTTGAAACTAGCGTGCATTCTACATAGTTTTCTAAAACTTATGAATATATTTTCTGGGTTGTTTAATGGTATAATCCAATTATAATTCAATAGTGTTGTAAACTAAAAATAATCATACAAAATGCGCTGGTATACTCACTCAGTACTTTCGACAGTCGGTGTCGTAGGCATTATCATAAGAATGCAGTTCACTAAGATTGTCGTAATGATAAACAAAGAGAACAGAGGATGCACTAATATGTATATCGCCACTCTTCTTATTGGATTAAATGGGTTTAAAATCCATAGGGCGTTCGTTGCAGAAAATCTGAAGATATCTTTACCCTTGCTTATAACTACGAAGGTCTGTAAAGAAACAGAAATATTTGTTCACTCGAAGAAGGAGAATTCATCTGCGGAGTCACAAGAAATTGCATTTAGCACCATTGTTAAAATGAGAGTGTACTTACTCTTTGGTTGTGATAGAAAGGGTCGATGTCCTCGAGGGGCGTGGAGGCAAGTTCCAGAGGAAAGGAGCCCTGCATTCGGACCGGCAGGGGCAAGCCCTGCTCCAGAGTGGCGTCCGGTTGGGGGCCTTCGTCCTCATCTTCGTCATCGTATCGCACCTACAAAAATTACTAATTGATTTCCTAAACCCAGATAAATGCGCACACATTCCCTTTCAGTGCCCCTGTTAAAATTTGAAATTTCATTGACGCTTTAGTGCGAAATAGTTAAACTTCAAACGTCAATGTAATTGTTACTGCAAAGGACCACGGGGGATTTTGTATGATCCCCGTCCCCACCCTACAACAGACAGGAGATGCGTGTTGAGTTGTTTATTCCTACCCAGAATAGATGAAATAGCTGTTTTGGGAAATCGATGAGGTTTCATTATAATAAGAAAAACTTTTCGTCAGAAATGTGTTTATTTTTACACAAAATATTAAAATGATTTTATTTTTATACGAAATTATGAAGTAAGATATTGCATCGCGGTAAATCGTTAAACTCATATAGCATTTATATATTTTGAAACTGTCAATCGAATATTCGAATTTTGTAATTCTGTTTTTAAGAAAATAATTGCTTTTTTGCTTCCGATATAATTCTTAAATTTCGTGGAACTCTGTAATTGGCTTAATTTTTTAAATAAGTTAACTCAACAGCTTTTTCTGTTGAGTTTATTAATTCATAAAAATAAACTCTTTATCCCGATATATTTAATTAAATCATAAAGCCCATCGCGTAGATACTTAGCGCAGTAAGATTTGGCAAGCTTAATTATGATAGCTCCTTTTAACGCGAAAAGGAATACTCCGTTACCAGGAAGTCTTCATGTCAAGAATATTTGCTTCCATGACTTCGAAAGCCACTGACTGCCAATTCAGGTTATTTAAATGCACGTAATCATGCAAAAGATTGATCGTGTTGAATATTTGCGTTTACTTCTTTATTGCGTGATGGTGGTTACTAGATCTACTTATGTGTCTCCATGATGAGATAGATTTTTTAATAGTTTTGGCAAAATACTCGAAAGACATACATTTTATTTTTCCAAAACTATTTAAAAAATCTTGTTAATTGAAAGCAATATTAGGTTCATATTGAATTACTTTTTATGCTCACTAAGTAAATATGTGAGTAAAATATAGAAAAAGATATAAAAATATTTAATAAAATCAAAACCTGATATTTGAAGTATGTCGTCTTAGTAAGAAATTATCATTTAGTAGGATGTAGGATTACTACACGCTTCTAATAACACATGTTTCAAATGTGTTGGGGGGTGGGGACGATTCTTCTCATTGTCCTTTTGCTTTTGTTTGCAATAACGCTAAAATTTCTTGCAATTAAGCTAGCCTACTTAAATCAAGCCTAACACGAGTCCTTATGAGCGTATTGTTTTTAAAACTTTGTAACAATAATAAGATAGAATTACGTCAAATGAGTTGAATTTCACGAAAGTATTATTTATAAAAAGTTTGGTAAATTTACGGTAGTCTAAAAATCTAGTTTGCTTACATTAATGGAGCTTATTTTGGTAGCTTTATACTTCTATTTTGGACTAAAGTTTGGCATTTCTAAGCGGGAAATAAATTAAATGATCCTCAAAAAAATATTTGGTTTTATGAAACCACGATGCAAGTGAAACTTTTAAAATCATTCATAAAAAGTCCTTCCTCGCCTGGGAATCTAATCCGGGCCGTCCGCGTAGCAGGCGAGTTTTCTACCACTGAACCACCGATGCTTGCACCGAGGGTCTGATTTTTTAATAACAATTAAAAACTAAAGATGAAAGAAAAAGTTGGTGGCGATGTAATAAAAGTTTCACTTTAGAATAATAAATGATCACCTAAGAATACTATATAATTTTATATAATTATATGATTTGTTGAGGATCAATTACTATTTCTTTGATGATCATTTAAATATGTGCCTATATAATGAACGATAGATATAAGCACACTACTTATTTGATAAAACGCTCATAAAGAGTTATAAAAGGTCTTTATTTTGTTATTTTCCACATTTTTAGATACTGGCCTTTACTGAATGCCAAAAACATATAATATTAAAATAAGCCCGATTAAATTGTTACTGTTACAAAGTTGTACCAAGTTAGCATGTCACTTGTGGCGTTCACCAAGCTGGTTCGATATTTTGTGTAGTGCTGCTGTCTGTGACTATGATGCGTTAACTGGCAGAACTATAAGCGTATCGTGTCAAACGTCCCTCGCTATTGTGTTACCATTCCGAATGTTTTAATGCGAATTATGCCTACCGTTCAATGCCAAAAGTATTGTATAATATTCTGAATACATTGCCAACGTTTTATCACGTTTTAATGTAACAATTTTCTTTAACTACTTTCTTTTTTCCCAAGCAAATTCCCAAGATTTCCCTGAAAGATTATTTTATTTAAATATATCATTTGCAGCAGTTGTGAATGATTTCGTTTGATCGATTTGATTCGAAATAGGTGCCAAAATAGGAGGTGTACTAGCGCAAGCTTAGACAAAATTTACAAAATACGTATCACAACCAAGAAACAGTTTATGGTAATAATTTTCACTCTTAATTTACTTTCTAATAAAATTCAATATGCACTAAAAGCTAGCTAGGTGTCATCACCATGCTAGACCTAAATGACAGCAGTCAATGATGATGTGGCGAACATGAGCCAGTCCTGTGCAATGCTTGATGGTGAATGTTATGTGCTGGTGTAGAATAATAATCACTCGGACGTTGCCATGTTGGAAGTTGTACTCGTCGAAATTTCAATTTGTTTTTATTGACATAATGTTTCCTGGCAGTATAAGGGCAACGGGGCAGGTCACCTACTCGGACGTGGATAAATCTTCTATATCGTCAAATTTACATCAAGGTACTGATCTATAGGGTTGACTAGTGCTTTTTTTCTATTCTATTCTATCAGAGAGGTTCTTAAATTCGTGGCAATTGATGATGATAATAAGGTTTCACAACTATTTTACTGGTTATCAAACTAACATAGGTTTTTTTTATCATCCCTCTGCATTCTTTTTTGTGATGAAATATTCAATAATCGCGTAGTCGATTTGCAAATAAACATGACAAGCCATCTTTGAATTATCTACAATAAAGATTAGCTGTTAATTATGGTACTGACTAGTGATTAAGTAACAGCTAAACTTCCAAACATTTCAGTACTTTGCCGGCAAAGCGAGATGTGTTCGAGGAGTAATGCTTAAATGCGTTAAATGCATAATCAGAATGCAGCACAAGTTATCGCATTCTCAATATGTCGGTGGCGCCAATATTTCTGAGTGTTCGTAATATTCGTTCCAAATTAATTTTGAAAGTTCAAGCGATAACTTGCTGGACAATATTACTCTAATAAATATGAGCCGTAAAAAGGTAAAAGGGGCAAGCAAGCAATCTTACTTCTTTTTTCTTTTTCGTCCGCCCCAAATCGTTCTGGAATAGTTTAAAAATTATTCGTCAGAGTAGTGTTTGTAGTAAATGTGGATCTTTCATTTGGTGCCACACTATAACAGATTGTTCTATATGCTTCTTGCGATCGTTGACATAACCACAAACCACATATAAAAATATGTATGCAAACACTCCAATTGCTGATAGATACAATTGCTGTTGAATGTTGATAGCTAAGTATGAAATGTTCGATTGTTGTAAACAGTTTTGAGTAGCTCTAGACACAATTTTATAAAGAAAGTTGTTCTGAACGTGTGTGCTTGCGATTGGGACTGACCTCGCCTTCCGCTCGTTTTTTCTCGAGTTCCTTTTGCTTGGCATGCTCCTCAGCTATGCGGGCTTCGATAGCGGCCAATGATTCTCGTGTGAAGGGCTGGAACAAGCTTCGTTCTTCCTCGCTGATCGAGTCCAAGTCCTCGGACATTGTCTATCGAACTCCCCCTCGAGTGAACTGCCTACTGCACAAATAACATTTCGTTGGTAATGATGAATGGAATATGAACATTTTGGTTAATAAAAATAGTTTTCAGGATCGGATTAATTACATTGTAATATTGGAAGCCACAAGATAATTAAGAAACATAATATTGGATTGTGAATCATTATATTTTTTTTGGCATCAATATTTCTGTATGACTTTTATTTTATCTGCAGAGCGAGCGGTTGTGTAATAATGGAAGAATTTCCTTGTAATGGAACCAGGTCAGGGCTAACTTGAACCATTATTGTGGAGTCCCTATATTTTATGACGTTTGCGGCCTGTCGACGCATTATTGGTGGCTTATTAGGAATTTATTATAGGGCTAATTTGAAATGGGCTATCTACTTAGTGTTGTTCCATTTTTTATGAGGAAATTTACGTTTTTATTGAGATATGAAAAGATGTAGAGATCAAGGAGCATTTCTATGTAACTTTTCTGGAATTTGTCGATGTTGTATTCGATTTTATGCTCAAGACAAGTCTCTACTGTAATATTTATTTCTATTTTGCGATTACTCTTCACTGAAATGTCGGATCTGAAGGTCTTTGCGTCGCTATTACATCAATTGGCTGTATATTTAATCAGGTTGTAATAAACCAAAAAGCTTCCGTGCTTCAAGTTCATTGTAAAGTATGATACGTATTGTGTACATCGGAGAAGCAAACTGTTCTGTTACGAGGCAATGCTCTAGTGTCTGCTAAAAATTAACAACAACAACAAAAAAACTTCTTCCCTAATTTTTTGATTAATGGGCAAGGGGACAAGTGGGCCACTCGCACCGACATTCTGTAGCTTAATCGAGTTTAACACATTATATTTATCAATTGTTTAAAGTCAAATAGAGACAAAATGAGGCTTAAACATAATTAGCATTAGATTAGCCCATACAATTTTCTAGCAGCTTTAGCTAGTCTAACAGTTAATAACGACTGACAGTTAATAAATGATCGAATGTCTCCGGTTCTCGTGTTGATTACGGATTACGTCATAGTTGGTGGACGAGCGACGGGTGTCCATCGAGTCGATGGATGACGTCATTACCTGCTAACAGTGAATGGGCGGGTGTGTGTGGTGGGGGATCCGTGCGCGGCCGTGCGCCCTGCGCCCGCGTGCTCCCACCAACCACCTACGGGCGCTCCGCCCCTCTGCACCAATAACATAAAAATATATATATTTTATACTATAACGGGTATTAAATATCGTTATTTAAAAAGCTTATTATTGCTTTGCAGCCTAAGAAATACTAGAAAATTTTCATCAGGTCTATTAAGGCTTTTTACTGACATTATTTTTTTATTTATTGTTACTTGAAAGCAAAGGATGCAAGGCCCGTACATCCTTTCAAGTAATAAAAAACTTTTAAGTCATTTTTTTGTGTCACTAAACAGGCCCTGTCAGAATAACAGCGCTGGTGCGACACAATGTCGCATCAGTTAATGCTGAGGCAGGGTCCTTGTTAGCCCTGTTATTTTTTTTTTATTTGTATCTGTAAATATGTAAATTAAGTCAGTCAACGTCCATTAAGTACCCGGATAGCAGAAGCCGTAGGTTCTAATCCTGCCCGACACTTGGACCGAATGATTGTTTTTAGAAAAGTTTTCTTTAGATCCATAGTTCACAGATGCCGATCTGCCAACTAATTAACGACGATAATCATTTCACTTATAGTTAATGCATATTTTTTTCTCATTAGCGTTGTAGATAATGATGATCAAAAACTGGCAAAGTGCGAACCGAAGATTTCCGTACCAGTAAGTACAGCAAAAAACCGGAAAAAATAGGTTCCTTGTTGGAGATCCTGTTAATTCTTATTTATTGTCATAGCGGCAATCTCCGATTATAGAATAAAAGGAAAACAAAGGCACCTTTTGTTCCGTAAGTATAAGGCGGCAATATACTATTTAGACACTGAAAATTTCGACGGTCGAGTAAAAATGGGAGGAACCCGTATCTATATCTAATTAACTACTTCTAATATTGCTAAGTAGCGCTTAAATTATGCTATTACTAATATTCACTTGTTTTTTTCTCTTAATATTTTTAAATTATTTTAAAGAAAGTGACGGTTTACCTGTCGTCCACGCGTGCAGTGTGGCTGCGGCTACCAAGGAGATGAAAATTACCACGTGTTCGCTGATCGGGACAGCCAGCAAATTGGCAAGATTTTTCATGACCGACCTGCGACAAAAGAAATCATTACATAAGACCTTTGAAAGTATTTGACGACCTCCGTAGCCGAGTGGTTTATACGCCGGGGTTCATGGTGTCGCCGGCTCGAGAGGTCCCGGGTTCGAATCCCGGTGGAGGCAGATGTTTGTGTGACGATTACGAGCATTTGTACTCCAGTCATGGATGTTTTATATGTATTTCTATATACTTATATATGTACAATATATGTATGTTATCCCATAACACAAGCCTTACAGAGCTTACTTTGGGGCTAAGCTAATTGGTGTGAGTTTGTAAATATTTATTTACCTTTGAATGTATACTCAAAAATCTTAGTATTTATAAAGGCTTTGAAAATAACTTCAAGTTAGTGGAGTTAACGGGGAATGTGATTAATACGTTCTGTCTGTGATCGTGGAAGTTAAGTAACTTTTTCAATGGCCGGTCATCTGATGGGAGACTAATAATTTATTATCTCGAGCTCCTCCGAGCCTTTTAAGGCACGTTTAACCGTTGGTCCCAAATGCATCTGCAGTCGTAAACACAACACCAACAATCCACCACATGATAAGTTTCAGCCCAATCTAGGGAAGGCATGTGCCCTTTGGAGTGGGGACATTAATAAATTAATGATGATGATATAGTGGAGTCGCCCGCAGGCCACACTCACTCTACTCTCCGGTCGTGGTGCTCGCGCAACATCTAACATCTGCATAAGATCCTTCTAGCCGGACTACCTTAGAGATAGTACCCTACATACGGTGTGTTTGTAAGGTCTAACCTGCGCGCGGGGTGGTGACTGCGTCGCCCGCTGGCCGCGCGTGCTTCTCTGTCCGGTCGTGGCGCACACGCAACATCTGCCCCTATGGTCTTTCGAACCGGATCACCATAGACAAAGTCCCGTGTGTAGTGTGTTGTCTAGGGTTGAGTCTAGAGGGCGCGCGGGATGCTGGCCGCGTCGCCCGCTCCTCTCTTCAGTCCTGGCGCACGCGCAACATCTACCTGTGGTCTTTGAACCGGATCACCATAAACACAGTACCGTATGTAGTGCGTTGTGTAGGGTTGTTTCTAGAGGGCGCGCGGGGTGATGGCCGCGTCGCCCGCAGGCCGCGCGCGCTCCTCTCTCCGGTCGCGGCGCACGCGCAACATCTGCCTCAGCGCAATTGTCGCGCCTGGAACAATAGCACACACTTATACACCATTACACCATTTTCAGTTTAAACTGTGTATAATAAATAATGAATAGGTATATATAGTAAACGAAGGACGTGCGAAAATATGACAATACAGAAATGAAATTGAAAACTCTATAAGAATTATAATTGTGATTGTGCAAACATTGGATGAAGAATCTCGCTATGCAAACAATACACCTATTAACCATTGACTCCTCTATTTTGTACTATTGGCAGACCTGTGATCAAGCAATCGCATCGTCTCTCTCACACTTAATATCACAGTTCATAAGAATATATGATTTAAAGTAATACTAACAAGCTTAAGGTGAACAACGCACGAGTTGTTGACCGCGGCGGATGGCGGTTGAGCTGATGTTGATTTGTAAAGGTGTTACGCCCAGTGCGTTATCATACTATACAAATTAATTAACATCCGGCAATTCAGCGATTGATTTAAACGAAAAAGGTGGTGGTTTTTAACAAGTATTTGTGACTACCTACGAGCCGGGCTCATCGGAAGTGGTGCCGCTAAGTGTAGCAAAAAACATTACGCATAATATAATGAATTAAAATTGCTACTGTATATATTAGTTAAAATGTAAACATGCAAAAATATTGTCTTTATCTGTGTCTTTAAAGGTACTTCATATAAATTACAATAAGAGCATCATCATTAGCTTAATAATGTTCCTTCTGTTAGGGCACGAGGACCGTCGGCAGTGCGGATTGGTTCGCATATTATATATATTTTACATATATAGATATTAGATATTTTTTACACTAATATACTGAAATCGTATACTACACCTCATAATTCTTCCTGTCACAGGAGATTATAAGAGGGCTGAAGTACAAATAAAGTACCTATAACGTACATCCTTTTACTTTTGAATGAAACTTCATAATATTTTCTTTAAAAATTACGTATCAATAATAATAACTCTCAACAATATTGGCTATTCAATTCAGTGCGACAGATATGGATTTTAAAGTGGTACCGCTAGCTGAACAATCTCGAGCCGCCACCATTCAGGCGGTGACGCCACTGCGCCATTTTCTTGTTAGAATAGGAAAATATCAGTGACAGTGGCGCGCCGCACTGTCTGCGCTCGTTCTATTCAGCTGTCCGACCCGGTTTAACGTACTCCTATGAATGAATCCAGCCACTGGGAGATAGGTAGGTTCTTAGGATTTTTCTCTACCTGTTTCATAACTCAACAATGTTTTAAAATCTCGCGAGTTTGAAAGCGTTTCTGATTGGCCTGGGTAATAAATAATAATTAACGAATCCATAAGTACGGAACTTAATAGAGCAAAAGACTTTTTTTGTTTAATCGAATTTTATTCTTAATCGAATTTCATAAAATAGATTATGATATGGAAACCTCACAAAACATGTGGTTATAATAAAGTAAGACCTCAAACATTTTATTTTTGACGGATATATTTTATCATTAAACAAAAATATTTCGATATATCGCTTCAGAGCCCTTTTGCCTTTTAGTACAGTCAATCTGTAGGTTGAGTGGTGAAAAAAAAACCTAAAGGGTAAGTCTTGTTTTTTGTGTTGCCAAATGACGTCAGTAAGCCACCTTGGCCATGGGCATGTTCAACTCGTAGGCGTTTTTTGAAAAACTCAAAAAAATCGTCAAAAATTTTTTGAAACGCATTTTTCTTGTTTTGTATGCATTTTAGAAACTTTTTTTTCGACCATAATTGTAGAGGGCATTGAGTACTACAATTTATGTCATTGTTGCAATCTCGTACAACAAAAAATGCGCATTGTAGGTGGCGCTAAAGTCTCAAAAAAAGTGTTTTTTCACTTTTTCACCCTGAAAATATCATTTTAATGGAAAACTTTAAATGGCTAAGTTGTTTCGTATATAATTACCAACAACTTTTGTATAAACAATTTTTTTGTATTACTTACCGTTTTCAAGTTATAAATTGTGCAGGTATAAAAAATCCAATAGAGCGGTTTTGGGCAGTTCAAGTACACATTTGCAGTGCACATTTCAATGTACGTTTTTACTATTTTTTTTTCAATCATGAAAAAAAATAAAAATAAAACTATTTTTTTTTGTTTTTCTATCATGAAAAATAATAAAAAATAGTAAAACGTACATTGAAATGAGCACTGCAAATGTGTACTTAAATTGCCCAAAACCGCTCTATTGGATTTTTCATACCTGCGCAATTTATAACTTGAAAACGGTAAGTAATACAAAAAAAATGTTTATACAAAAGTTGTTGGTAATCATGTACGAAACAACTTTGCCATTTAAAGTTTTCCATTAAAATGATATTTTCAGGGTGAAAAAGTGAAAAAACACTTTTTTTGAGACTTTAGCGCCACCTACAATGCGCATTTTTTGTTGTACGAGATTGCAACAATGACATAAATTGTAGTACTCAACGCCCTCTACAATTATGGTTGAAAAAAAAGTTTCTAAAATGCATACAAAACAAGAAAAATGCGTTTCAATAAATTTTTAACGGTTTTTTTGAGTTTTTCAAAAAACGCCTACGAGTTGAACATGCCCATCGCCAAGGTGGCTTACTGACGTCATTTGGCAACACAAAAAACAAGAGTTACAGTTTAGGTTTTTTTTTCACTGAAACGATATTTTTTTCGACAGATTGACTGTACTATTTTGCCCTCATTCTAATAAGTATCTAAATATTAACTAACTGACCTTTTACTCTAAATGACGTCAATGATTATTAAGTAAAGCCTTAAGCATTGCATGATTTCCATTATCATGTATTTCAAAAGACTCATAAAATTGTAGACGTAGTAATTTTGTTGGGCATAGAACGAATAAAAGTTATGAATGCTAACCTTGACTGTAACACGATCAAGATAAAAACTTTTTGCATCTTTTATTTTTAATAGGTAGGTAGGGGTAGGAGATCTGGTTCAGGTCGGCTAGGTGAGGATGAATGGAGCGGCACATCTTCTGCCGCATCATCTATCTTCGCGACTGGACTCCACTTACACTTAACATCAGGTGGGGTAATTTTATGCGCCTCGTATTAAAAAAACCGGTATTTGAAGAAAGTCAATAAGTATGAATGATTGGTATGAACATTCAGTGCCTAATAACAATCTCACTAACACTATTAATTCGTTTTGTCAAACCCATACTCTCTACTAATAAAATAAACTAGCGGCCGCCTGCGTGTGTGTCTGTCTATTAACTCTTCACGCTAAAATCTCTAAACCGATTTAGATAAAATATGGTATGGAGATAGTTTGTGCTGGGAAAGGACATAGAATAGTTTTTATCCCAGAAATCATTTTTTCAAGGCGTGAAAAGGGGTTGGATATACGTATAGCCTACAAATAGTTCCGCGCAGACAAAGTCGCGGTCACCCACTAGTACTCACAAAAATAAGGTTTTACTGGAGACAAACAGAGAACCAAAAAATTCAATGAATCCTCAACATTTAAAAAGTTAAAATTATAAATCGAAATATCTCTACCATAGCTATTTAGCTGATGTAACAATATATACTCGTAGCATTAGATGGGACATGGAACCAAGGAACAAACAAAAGTTTATTGTAAATAGGACAGTAATGTATAATGAAGTATCCAGGATTTTCGTTTGTAAGCTTTATTCCGATGACGGGGCGGTTTTATCAAAGTAAATACTATAAGAGTTTGAGCCGTGTCTCCTCTAGATCCCAGCACAGGATGTTACAAGTTTGTTAGTTCGTTAAACATAGTGGTAAGGCGTCCTATGCAATTATAGTTTGTGAAGTTTCCATTTCCAAAAGAAGTTAACAGCTAGCGTATTTTAGTTTTATGTAAAAAAGTTAGTTTGAGCTCATTAGCCGCATTTGTTTTAATATCACATTAGGTCCTTCCTCATTCAGTTAATTCCATTCCTTCTTGTGTCAATAAAAAAAAGAATTCTCAATGATTAAAGCTGTGCGCTATCACACCTGGAACAAAACCAGGCGCTTGGCTGAGGTAGGATTAAAAAAAGTTGCAGATTGATTAATGAACAGTCTTCTGTCACTGAACGCTTCTAAAACTACATGAGTGATGTTATTATACAAATTCATACAGACGATTGCTTATCAAATTCATTAAAAGATCAATTTACATGTAACTGTCCTGAACTAACTAGATCAAAAAATGCAAAATATTTAGGGATTACTTTCGATTACAGGTTGCAATGGTCTCCTCATATCAAAAGTGTAGCAAATCGCGTTAGGAAACTTGTATAAGTTTTGAAGACTGCATGAAGTAGCTCTTTCTAAATTATTACTGCATATTTTCGATGCCCTCTGTCAATCAGTGATTACATATGCAATTTGTGCTAGAGGTGGTGCAGGGAAGACTTGATTGATTGATGTTGTACGAGCTCAACGTATTGTACTAAAGCTATTGCTTCGATTACTCTGTATACATCCCACTGCACTGGTTCGTGAAAAAACTTAGGTCTTAGTGTTAGAAGATTGTTCATATACCAGTGTATTAGGCGTTTTCACAGATACGCGGCAAACCAATAAATTGATAGGAAAAAATTAAAAAGACGTAAAAAAGGAGAAAGATATTTAGTGCCCAAATAAGAAGTGCCTTTGCCAAAAGACAGTATTTTTACCTAGCCTCCTTTTTATACAATATATTTCATAAAAAAATTGTCAGCAAAAAACTAAGCCATCATAAAATGAAAGATAAATTAAACATTGGTTAGAATTACGAAGATACTGTGCAGCTTTTAGGATCTATTGGGTAAAGGAATTATTATTTATAATCTTGATCTTTTTGCAAGCAAACACACTTACACAAACACGCACATACCTTAACACATACACACACCCCCATAAACACACACACACACACCACTTACACATACGGGACACGTTCGTTAATGTAGTTAATGTGATTTTTAGTGGATATTTTTTATTTTTCTCGTCTTTAATTTGTCTAAATTCAACAATACCCAATAAGTTTTGTCATCTAATGAAGGGACTGGCTT